ACTATACTTTAGATATCAGACAGAGCTGATGATCCGGAACGTACGTAGCGTTGCCGAACTCACACACATCCCGCAATGGAAGCTTACGGAGCATGTGAACTTCAAGCCTACGCTATTGCCGTAGCCCTGCAATACCCCTACTTTACTCCAGAACAGTTTCTGGACATGCTCATCACGCTGTGTGACTCAGGCATTAACCTTCAGCTGTATCAACCAAAACTAGTACATTTGAAAACGCTGCTGTCTCAAGAAACAAATATTGTGGTGAAAGCCCTTGGTAATGATTCCGCGGGACTAGAAGCTGTACCTATGGCTATTTACTGCGTACTAAAAGGAACCAGTATGGCGCCTGAAAATGCTTTTGAAGCGACCATGGCGCTTACAGTACGGGTTGGTGGATGCACTGACGGAATTGCAACCTTGGCGGGTGCTATTGCCGGAGCTTGGCACGGTCTCAAAAGTATACCGCAGGCATGGCTCCAACTGTGTGATGGATACAAGAACAGTATTACGCTCGCCGACAAACTTGCCGAACACGCCAGCAACACCCTAACCAATCGCGAAATAGATGATTTCGGCAACTATGGTACCTTAGGATCACGTTTGGAATCGTTCAAAGGATGGCCACATCTGAAACCCTCACCCATGGAACTAGCTGGAGATGGATTTTTTCATTTTGGCACACAAGACTGTGTTCAGTGTTATTACTGCAACTGTAAACTTAGAGATTTTGAGCCTCTCTCTGATCCCCGTTGGGATCATTTATGTAAGAAGCACAACTGTCCTGCCTCCAATGGTCCTGATAATTTATATTTTCACTTGTAAATACCATAAAATAAAATGTCATGAATAAATAAAAGAGGGTGGGGAAAAATAAACCAAAGAAAGGGGACAATCGGCTCCAGTCCGGTCCAAAACCGGCTGAAAACCGAACCGATTACAAGCCGAACCGCGGACCGGTCGAAAACCGGACCGATTCGGAGCTGACGCTAAACTAGCGCTATATCTTCTTTGAATCTTTGCGCGACAAACATCCCCCAGCACCTGACGACTGCCAGTTTCCTGCGGACCCTGATGACAGTATTACGGCGCCCGCAGTCACTCCAGCTGAGCTGATGGCTGCAGTTTTCAGCTTCCCATCTGGTTCCGCTGGAGGTGTTTTTGGCCTTCGTCCTCAGCATCTGAAGGACCTCCTTGTACGCAAGAGCGACACACAGAGCGACCTGTGTTTAGCTCTGACAGACCTGGCTACCATGGTATTCAGAAAGAATCTACCAGAAGATGTGCGGCCTTATTTTTTTGGAGCCAATTTAATTCCACTTTTAAAAAAAGACGGCGGAATAAGGCCAATTGCTGTTGGGGAAACATTACGTCGTCTGTTTTCGAAAATTGCTAGTTTTCGTTGCGCCGATGACGCAGCTGCCATGTTTAGCCCATCACAACTGGGATTCGGGATAAAAGGGGGAGCCGAAGCGGCTGTGCACGCTGTTCGCACCTACGTCGAAGCGTCCCACACGGAGGCTCGAGTTGTGGTCAAATTGGATTTTCGCAATGCTTTTAACACGCTCCGTCGAGACATTCTGCTCTCTGCTGTACGCAATAAATTTCCCGCCTATTACAGGTACATATGGCAGTCATATCGTTATTCATCTCATTTGTCATGCGGCCCCCATCAGCTGTCATCGGAGAGCGGTGTACAACAAGGTGATCCTTATGGCCCCGCCGGCTACAGCCTTGGAACACTACCCCTCTTCGATAACCTGGACTGTGACATTGCGGTGGGTTTCTTGAACGATGTCACGATGGCTGGGCGCGCTGATAAAGTGATTGCGGCTATACGAACAATAATCACCCGTGGTTTCAAGATGGGATTGGAGCTTAATCTAGATAAATGCGAAGTTTTCAGCGTGGGACGCTTCATGGCGGACCGTTTACACGCTGTCCAACAAGTGCTTGACGTTTGGCCGGACATGTCAATCGCGAAAGAGGAAAACTTGGTCCTCTTGGGTGCGCCATTAACACCAGCTGCATGTGAATCGTTCCTGCAGGAAAAAACCACCCAGCTAAACAACTTCGTTCGAAGGCTGAAAGATATCCCTGCTCATTTCAGCCTGTACTTGCTGAAACATTGTTTGTTTATTCCTAAACTGCTGTACGGTTTTCGCACTGGGAGATGTTACGACCACATGCAGTTGTTGGAAACAATGGACGGATGTGTACGAGCGGGCATACAATCTATATTGAACATCCGTGTAAATGACATCCAATGGAGCCAAATGACGCTTCCGGTAAGAGACGGTGGACTGGGACTACGGACCACAAATTCGCTTGTTTTCCCTGCCTTTTTGGCATCGGCGCATTCGGTGGTAACCTTGGTTTCGGAAATCTATCAGCCTGCGACGGTAGCACTTCTGGATCCTGTTGTACGTCAGTGGAAGGAATGGACAGATTGTGAACCTCCGCCTCAAGAAAGCAGGAAGTTTCAGTATGCATGGGACCGGCCGACAATAGACGTTGTTGTATCTACATAGAAAGCAGCAGCCACGGGCGAAACGGAAAAAGCAGTGCTGCTCGCTGCATTACACCGCGACTCGGGCGCATGGCTGAACGCTCTTCCAGCACCGAACCTGCACACATTTCTGCGGGACGATGAGATCCGAACTGGCGTGGCGCTTCGTTTCGGACTCCCTGTGGTAGAGGAACACCAATGCGTGAACTGCGGAAGCATTGTGGAACCTAATGGCCATCACGGGTTGTCGTGTTCAAGCAGTAAGGGGAGATGGTCGCGGCACGTTGAACTAAACAACGAAGTCAAACGCGGGCTTGAGATTGCCGGATATCCCTGTCAGTCTGAACCAACTGGCCTTTCAGATACAGAGGGCAAGCGGCCGGATGGCATGACTTTGATTCCCGTGCGCGATGGAAGGGCGGTTGTGTGGGATGCGACGTGCTGGGACACTGTGGCCATGTCCCACGTCAGTGCCAGTTCAAGAAAAGCCGGAAGCGTAGCCCAGTTGGCTGAAAACTATAAGCGCAACAAATATGCTTTCGTCGAAGAACTGGGATATTTTTTCTACCCTCTGGCGGTGGAAACGTTCGGTACGTTTGGAGTATCTTTTGCTGAGCTCATCCGTTTCGCCGGCCGTAAGATCCGCGAAATTACCGGAGAACCACGATCTACGGCCTTTTTAAGGCAGCGTTTAAGCCTTGCAGTAGTCAGAGGAAATGCAGCTGCGGTTTTGGGTACACTGATTGCACGCCCCAAGATCACTAATGGGACTAACGATTTTGGATGTTTTTTCAATGTTTAAATTCTGATCATTTTAAGTAGTGTAAACCTGTGCTGGCCCATCTGATCTGTAAGCTGACTGGTGTCGAATAAAAGTTGAACTTCTTAAGATGTTTTAGTACGTTTAACCAATGGTAGCGGTCAGGACCGGAACTGGATCCTGGTCACAACACCGTATGCCCATTGTAGGTCTTAATAATGCGGATATCATTTAAATGCACGTAAAAAAAGTGCGTCGAACTGTCAAAAACACATAGGTCATATGTTCTGTGAACATATTTGAAAATTTTTTATACGACTTTCGTCGCTGTCACTTAAAAGCCCGACCAACTCTTAATAATCAACCAAAAATTGCAATAATTTGACCGTGCATAAATTGCACAAAATGAGCAAAAATGGGAGCAGAAGGACGAGGCTCGTTTTATTGAAGCCATGGAGAGTAATCCTGCTTTGTGGAACGTGACAGCCGCTCAGCTGGAACTACTGGTATCCGGTGCGTCGGTGCATGCTGTAGAGCCATCCGTAAATTGTTTAACAACATGTCAAACAACGGCTGGGTCATACGGAAGTAGTTGAAATGTCGTTCGGGGTCTTTTTTCCGCAGATCTTGCACAAGCGTATACAATTCTCCGTCCGTGTGACGGCTGCAGTTGATATCCCGAATATATTTTTCATGGTGTGTTTTCCGAGCATAGCGACGAGATATTATTACGGCGGCACAAAGGATAAGAGACAGTAACGCTTGTTTCTTTCGGAAAAGCGGAAGCTGCATCGCGTAATATCGGTAAAAACTTTTCAAACATACAAAAGCCCAAATTCGAATTCTTTTAATTTTTTGAAGTTTTTGGTACTCTGAAGTGAAGCTGGTCTGATTTTGGTTTTCACATTTTTGGGTCAAACGGGTGGAGTCTCTATTAGAATTTAGAACAATTTTAGCAGTATGACCAGCACACCGATAAAACTGTCCTAAGCATACTTTTGCAAACAGTTTTATCAAAAAAAAAATTTAAACACTTAATATTTACAACAAATTTGTTAGATCTTGTGCTAAGCAAAAAGTTCTAAAATTTTCGTTAGAACACGAAGTATGACCGAGGCATAAATGAATCGTCGTCCTCCATCGTATAGTCCCGTTAACCGGGTTGTTTGCTCTTGATATATGAATGATTGAATGAATGTCAAGGGAGATTCAGGCGACATGCGAGTTTGAATAGCGTAATACAACGCAGTCTTGGGTCAGCGAAAGTCCCGACAATTTTAGAGCCTCCTGGATTGAGCAGATTAGATGGAAAGCGGCCGGATGGCTTATCACTCTTTCCTTGGAAGAACGGTCTTCCATTGATATGGGATGTGACGGTATGTGACACATTCGCGATGTCGTACATAGCTGGATCATCGGTGGCAGCGGGTTCAGCAGCGGATGACGCGGAAGAACGAAAGAGGAACCTCTATTTGGAACTCACTGACCGATATTTCTTTGAACCGGTAGCTTTGGAAACGATGGGTAGCTGCGGCACCAGTACCCGCCAGTTCATCAGTGAAGTCGGTCGGCGCATCAAAGAGCAACCAGGAGAAGCGCGTGCCACTGAGTTTTGTGGCAGCGTATAAGTGTCGAGATTCAGCGCGGAAATGCGGCATCTGTTTTGGGTACTGTTGCTTGTTCAAAAGAGCTGGAAGAGTTGTTTTATTTGTTCTAGCTAGCTGATCTTTTGAGTTTAAGTGAAAATGGCATTTTGCTTGTACAAGTATATTAAAGTTTCTCCGATCCATTGAATGAATGAATATAAATCACTCATTCCGTAACCTATATCAGACTCTTTATATCGGTAGGTTTGATATCGTGAATTCGCTACATGGATCAGTACTAGAGGTAGAGAAACAGCTTTACGCTTTTTCTGGTAGATGGAAACTGTAGAACCCCTTCATTAGTGCGCCTTGAACGTCCAAGAAGTAGTTAATCGAGCCGTTGCAGTCTCGTTCAGAAATTTATTGAGAATTTCGACCGCTGGATATCTCCATAAAGTCCAATACTTATGACTCTCCATTCCTGGATAAGTAGCAGCGAAGACGAACTTGGTCGCATCATTCCTACGAAAATTGTAGAGATTTTGTTGTGCTATCCGCAGCGCATATTGCCGTTGGAAAAAAACGTGTTTGCAGTTTACCATGATTATCTGATAGGTTGTAAATTAAACCACAACTGCTTTGATAAAATGAAATGACGATGCGACTGTTACGTCGACAAGTTGGTCTGCTAGCGTATGTGAAAAGTGAAGCAATTAGGTCAGCGTACCATTCAACAGTCTTCAGTTCCTCGCGTCCCGTTAATGTAATCGTCAGTGTAATATCATCAGTCGTTATCGGGTTCGCTTGGGCAAATGCTTGCTCCACGGCATGAAGGACTAGCGAAGAATTCTGCAGCCACCCGGGTATAACTAAGTTTAAATTTAAGCTGCTTCTTAATTGGTATAATGCTTCAAAATTCAATTTACCACAAACGTAGCAGCAGGTCTGAATTCGTACGGGCCAGATGCTCGCTGTTTGGACAGAGACTGTACGTACAAGGTGAACGTCTCGTTTACGGGACACAGTTCAAAAGGATTACGTCCTGCTGTACATCCCTTTATGATGCTTTGTTTGGCAGACTGATACCACTGCTCCACTTGACTTTCTGTCATAGTTTCTTTGACCTCCCCAAAAGGATATTTTTGCAATATGTACGTTAAATTGATATTTAGGCTTGGCACCGGCACTTCCACGGTAAGGCCCTGCAGTTTGTCGTAAATGGCTTCTGCGTATGTTAAACTGGGGTCAGCGGTGACAATGGTAAACCCGTCGGGAACATAAACCGACACGAAGAAGTTGATAGCGTTTCCAACCAGCTCCGGATTCCAAAGAGTAATGGCAACCTTAAGTGAAGCATCTACACAGATTCCCATATCCCGTAATCGTTTTTTCATACTGGTGTTCTATTGGGTACCGTTACCATCCAACGATTTCTGTAGCCGTTCAGTCATCTGCTCCTCCAGCCGCGGTAACAACTGTATGTTTAATGGGTTGTTCTGGTTAGACTGCGGCATGTTGACATACATTCGAAATGAATAAGTTTTGTCAACCGGCCATGGCAAGGTTCCATTGATAAATGAAGGACCCACTGATTGCGACTAAAAAAGCGCAATAATAAACCATGGAAATTCGCATGTAATACTGGACTTCTAATTCTAGATGAGATACTCCGATTTTTTCGGACATCAAATAGAAGAATGAAGTAACTCAGTATTGTAGGAGCTTAGATGCATTTTAATTCTTTTAAATAATTTACAACCTATCAGCATCAGCTTTGGGATGGCAATTGAAAGAAATCGATGTGGATTACGGATTTTACGGTCATCATATGCTTGTAACACACTGGCATCATCGTCACGTACTTCAAAAAACTGCGTTCCATACTTGTGATGGAACGGAAGATACGGCATCTCGCCTAAATAGATGGTTTTGTGCACCAGCACCGCAGACGGGATTACCGTTAACGTGGAACTACAAAAATCGGAGTCAAAATAAGACGTTAAACCATTAAACCTTAAAATAAGTATTAGTTATTACTTATTAGTGATCGAAGCCTCGAATCTGATTTGATGCGCTGCACTCAGTGCACCAAAAGTTTCCTGTACAATTTCGTACGTATTTAATGAACTGCTTACTACGAAAAGGAACCATTAGCTCGCGACGTCATAATCCACGGGTTAGTGGTGCCAAACTGAATATCCAAATCACCGCTATCCGGGCTGCCACAACCTCGCCTGACTGCTTCTTCCGTAGCTATTTCCAGTAATTCCCTGTACATGGGGGCCATGTCGGCTACATGGCTCTGGTCTGCCGGCCTCAGGTAGCCCGTAAACCGGGCGTAGCCGTACACGACTGCACCACTGGCTATCGACACTCCAATTTTTTGAAGGTTCTCCTGGAGATCCTCAACGGATGGAGGATCCTGATCAGCTTGAGACAACTGATTCAGTGCAGTGTCGTCCGAGTAAATCCGTGTGTTCACGTCGCCAATTTTTGAACGAACGGGCAGGACATAAACGACTTGCACAAGAGGTGATCTACAAGAATCTAAGGGTGCATCTTAAAATGACAGAGGCAAATAAATTTTGCCAGTTTTAATACAAACTATGCCGTAAGCGAACTATTCAGTGTGTCTAAAGAATTACAATATAGTAATAACTAGCTCGCGAACATGAGATTTATATTCGTACATCAGAAATTATGACTTTTTGCTGAAGACTGGTTATGAACTGAATTCGGATTGTGAACGTACCCGTCTAAGGTGCTTAGTACTGTGCCGTTGTCAATAAAAATGATCTGCACCGGGTTCCATGTCGAACTAGTGCCATCTGTAAAAGAACTGTCGCTGTATCTTAAAGATTTTGCGCCTCTCGGGTAAACAAAGATGACACCGACTACCGAGATTTTTCGACCATGCCGCCGATAGCGCATCTTCTAGTTGTTTGACGGAAGCGTTGTATGGCTGCAAAGCGACCTGGTGTACGCCGACAAAATCCGGTATTTGTAGGCCCCTTCTAGTCTTCATCAAAGAATTCAAATAGAAATCCGCCTTCTCCGTGATGTTCATGTAAAATCGCACGCCTCCGACGGCTGGATACGAATAGTAACCTAACCACTCTGAATCATCTTCAATCCCCGCATCATTTATAGTATAATTAAGGGTGAGGGAGCTGGAAGTAGAAATGTTGTGGGTTGTTTCTACGTCCCAGTTATCAACGACCACTGGCTTGGTTATCTTTCCAGTGGCATTGCAAAACTTCGTCGTCGTTCCAGGGATTTTATTTACCACTGTAAATTGTACGAAAACGGCCCTATCTTAAAAACGATTTATACATAGCAAAATGTGCAGCAAAACAGCCAGTCTTACCGTTGTTCGTCTCGGGAGGGGGTGTAGTGTGCGGTACATCGACTATTTGACTGAGGGCCCGAATGTTGGCATTTCCAGATCGAATAAACAAGAACGGGCAGACGAAATGTAGTATTATTACTGGAACGTCGAACATTTTTACACTACGTTAGATAAGGCAATTATTACTACTGCACTATTTCTGATTAAATTTGCGGGCACGGTAGAAGAGACTTTGTACGTTCAGATTGCAATCACCGATGCAATATTAAAATCCCATGCATCTTTTTGCCATCATGATTTAATCGGACAAGATACCCGGAGGACAAATCACAGCCGGAACCGGTACAGGTTAAAACTGCATTCACAAAAAGTTACGTAACATATACATGTCCACTGTTCAGTATGCACTGCAGTATTGTATATTGCGGTCTGTACAATAATAATATGCAATATTCGGGCTTTTGTAATTTACATCTGAATAGTCACATTTAAGCCAAGCATACTCGCGCATTTGTGTTCCAGCGAAAGCGATGTTGATGAATAAAAATTAATGTACAATGACTACTGCAACGGGAGCCGGTTTGGGTAGCCTGTACAAGGTTGGGCTAGCCGTTATTACCCGACAGCTCTGGGCAAGAAGAAAATGTGGAAGCACTTTCTGGTGGCTGCTAAGGATACATCGCAGCGCGTGATGCCGTCCGTATTCTGCACACTTGTCCAAAACCTAGCCGCTTCCGGTTAACATCGCTGCCGAACTTGCCAGTAGTTTGCTCGATCGGCTTTCCGACACTAAAAGCCAGTAAATTGTAGTGAAATGAAACAATTAATCAACGCACTAACCATAAGTAGCTACTGCATGCAATAAGTTACATCGCTTCTTGACGTCTCCGAAACGAAACTAGCACTGCCGTTTGATTAGCCAATTGAAAACATGGAAACCACCGGGTGTGTTGAACATTCATATAAGAGCGTCATCCTCTTTTTCTTGTACTAAGAGTAATTACTCAAATTTCTCTATCTGGAATAATTACGTAAATTTCTCTATCTAGCCTTATTTTAAAGCTTTGAAAATATGATAATCAAGAGGTAGCTGCAGCTACCTCATAATAATAACTATTACATTATTACATTTGTTATTACTACATAATAATTAATACATATTCAGTACACTCGTACACTTACAGCAACTTTACAGTGTAAAGTTGCTGTATGTGTACGAGAGTACCGAACAAATGTAATAATTATTATAAAGTTCACCAATCGATAATTATTATCCTCGTAATATTTTTTTTTATTTTAGGATTATTAGTGCTACTGCGTTACCATCCTGAAGATACGCCGTAAGAACATGCACGTATTGTATTTTCGCAAGTTTTAGGGACAGGGTGGGGGCGTGGCCAGCGTGACCGGACCGTCGGTTACTTTGATCTCAAAGGGGCCGACAAACCGTTCGCGCGCCCCGGCCCCTGGAACGTTCTTTGAACTTGTGAAAATACAGTACAAGTAGGCATTAATTTATGAAATCGCGCCCTGAGACAACAACTATATTATAGGACTGTACGCAGGCAGATGGGATTTCGCATCTTTGGAATTTCTAATAACATGCAATTACAGTTGATAGTACGCCCAATTAGTTGACCAGAAGGTCATCTTGAGGGTTGAAAAAGCGTTCCGTGAACTGTTTTTCCGTAAAATAAGGATGCTCCGTATTAGCCGTAAACTCGAATAGGTATTCTCCATGGCTGATTAGTATAATTACAAAGATTAAAATAAGATTGATATCATCAGTGGCGAGACGTGAACTCAAGTCTGCATCGCTTTTGGTTAAATTTTCCGTGGGTTTTATTTACAACGATCGCTTGGACAGTGCTCGCATAATTTCTGACTTCACCGAACAAAACCCACAAAAGCTCGTCATTTTAATTTTCTATTAAAAATGGTCATGAATTCTCCGAATGTTACCAGCAAAATATCCGGAAAAGCCGGTGATCCATATTCATTACTGACCATTTCCAGTACGGTTGCGACTACCATCGCGCTTCTCCTCAACCTTGCGGTTTTACTATACTACATCATTCGCATCCGTATTAAAGCGCCTTTCACTGTATTCATTGCTAATCTTCTGCTTGCCAATACGTTGTTCTGCATTACCCCCTTTTTCGATCATGTTATAACTATTTACTTAAGACAGACTCCGCGAACACCTCAGCAATGACTTTAATGGTAGTTTGGGGGTTAGCAACGTTGTATCGATGACATATGTAACCGACGCAGCGGATCCAATAGGTCATCTCCACAAAAGGTAACCGACACAGCGGATCCATTAATACACACTTCCAAAACAAACCCCCTTTCCATAAGGAAAAGGGAGGGAGGGAGGGAAGAAATTCCCAAACACAATTCGAGCAGCCACATAACTAACTTTCAGACACGGCACTCAGCTACATCAATCGCACAACTTCATACACAAACTTCAAAGATAGTACTATCCATAACATACAATGCTACAACTGACCACTGCCCAAGCGCCCCACCCGCGCCCAACCACATCTCTCCAATCCGCCCTTCATCCTTCTCCGCTGTCTTAACCGGAATTAGCTCCGCTAATTCTATTTAAGACAGACTCCGCGAACACCTCAGCAATGACTTTAATGGTAGTTTGGGGGTTAGCAACGTTGTATCGATGACATATGTAACCGACGCAGCGGATCCAATAGGTCATCTCCACAAAAGGTAACCGACACAGCGGATCCATTAATACACACTTCCAAAACAAACCCCCAAAACCCCCAAATGCGTCAAACATAGGGCCGCAAACCATCAACAGGCTTGGTCGAGCGGATGTAACCTTGATACGCATCGCTCTTCCACCGACCGGAACGCTTTATAGAGATATCCGACTGGTGACAGTTCGCAGCAGTAGTCGCAGCTCCGATACGGAAGCTGTGTGGTGTAATACAGCCAAGTTTAGAAATACCGTGCAACAGCGCTTTCAACATGCCGGCGAAGCGAGAGCGAGAAAGAAAGGTACCATCCGGAAAAGTAAATAAAGGATTGTTATCAGGATAATCCAAATCCTTACGTAATAAGCAAAACTTATAGATAGACCGAAATGGGCAAACAGATCTATTTGTAGCAGACAACGATACAACCGAACCACGAGCATACTGGTCTGTTTTAGACCGCTTAATAGACATTAAAACAACAGATTTCTGAAAGGTTACATCAGACAGCAACAAGGTCGAACAAGCTTGGAAAGAACGTTTGTGCGACGACGTATACTCACACGGACGAAGGAAGCCGAAATATGCAGCATTACAAGCTGCCCAGAATAAAGACTTATCGTATGGTGACCAATGAGAATCATTAAGACTGCGCTTAATTAATCTCATAACATCCAGCGATACCGGAAGTCTCTTATCGCACCGAGGCGGACGGAGCCGCGCATAACCTTTAACCGCGCGAGTAATAACACGTGACTTTGTAAAATCGAATTTTCCATGCTCACATAGCCAATTAGAAATACCAGAAATATATACACGAAGCGTGGCATATGATTTACCAGAATCGAACAAATGTGCAATGAAACGCAACAAAGATGAGCAGCTAAGCTGATAATTGTGTTGCTGGCAAAAGTTGCGATAAGTTGTAAAACCAACGCAGTACACGGACCGAGAAGAGGATGCAATATGACTTTTTAATAACAATTTAATAGTAGAATCCATGCTACTCAACTAGTAACTCATTCAACACATCAGGTACGAACTCAGGGTTAGCATTAGCATTAGGACAAAGCTGACGAAATATAACTAGCTGACCACGAGACAAAGCGTCGGCAACATTGTTCGACAAACCAGATATGTGGACAATTCTTAAATTGAAATTATGTTGAGCCGCAATAAAAAATATTTTCCGCATAACAGAGTTTATTTGTAAATTAGCAGAACAAAACTTAGACCATGCTTGCACAACTGCGAGATTGTCAGAATGCAACTGAACTTTCTTGCCGGCTAGTAACTTTCCCCATAGCAGACATGCAATGTATACTGGAATAATCTCACAAAGTGCGATACTGTGCTCAGCCATAACCGCACCAGCTGGCCACTTCGCAGAAAACCAACGACCGGCAAAATAACCACCAATCCCCACCGATAACGATGCGTCAGTGAATAACTGTAACACATCCGCATCGGACCAATCAATGTCCATAAAGGAATTAGTGCCGTTCCATGTCGGCAAGAAATCGCGCCACCACTGTATATCCGCATGAAAGCCGGCATCCAGTACGACTTCATCCAACTGATTACGCAACAAATTAATCATACGACGTAGAAAAAGCCGACCAACCGGCACGCATTTTGCAGCAAACTGTAATTTACCGATAATACTTTGAAGCTCAGTTTTGGAACAAGTAGTACGATCAGCCCACTGTGCAAGCACTAAAATAATTTCCGCAAGCTTCTTAGAAGGCAAAGAAATGGTGCCGGCCACTGAATCAAGCACAATCCCTAAAAAGGTCAGTGCAGTTGCCGGACCTTCCGTCTTCTCCACTGCCAAAGGAACACCAAGGGCGCCACATAACTCAATAAAACTGTCAAGTATAAGCCGACACTGTGCCGATGCAGCCATGCCAATCAAAAGGAAATCATCCACATAATGCAAAATCCACTCATGATGAGTGATATTCGATAAGATCCAGTGGATTGCATCGGAAAATAAACAGAACAGATAAGGGGAAGAACGCGAGCCGAACGGTAATACAATATCAAAATAGTATCCATTCCCCACACGATAACCGAGGAGATGCCAGTCTTCACGCCGAACTGGCACCAGACTAACGCATGTTTTATATCTAATTTAACCATAATGGCGCCTTTCCCAGCCGCCTTTAGATAGCGGATAGCATCGTCAACCGTGCAATAAGAAACAGTATATGTGTGACGGTCAATGCAGTCATTAACAGATGTGCCAGACGGAGCTGACAGATTATTAATGATTCGATGTCCACCTGACGCTTTGGGAATAACACCCAGAGAATTGCAGACAAAATTAATTAGTGGCGGCTTATCAAACGGGCCAACAGAGTGGCCTAATGACACTTCCTTCTGCACAGACGCTAACAAAATATCATGATGAATAACTGCTGATTTCATATTAGACACTGACCAAGATACGCGGGGGCCGGTATAACCAATATCCGCTCCATTTAATAAGATATCAGATATCTGTACAACAAACAACCGATCTGGGTGGTCTGCCAATAACTGGACAAATTTCTCACGACGAAGCGGGGTTGCCGGTTTTATTGGCATCATTGACTTCATAGCAGGAATAAAAACCGTGTCCTCCACGTCCGCAATGTGAGCAGAAATGACGAAGTTTCTTTCGGCATGGTGTTGAACAGATCCCATCGTTGAACTCCTGACAAATGACTTTTCCCACAGTACCGGCACGGTGATTTCGATCCCCGCCGGCCGCTGCCGGCCGGTCACGAAAAAGCTGTGTGCTGCTGCAGCTGGTACTGGCTACACCTACAGCCGGCCGCATCCAACAATTACGAGCAAAATGACCACTACGGCCGCAGATATTACAAGCACCGCGCTGCGGTTCCGATAGACGTTGCATTTGCAGTTGTTCCGGTAAACGTTGCATCTGGAAAGATTGCCGAAAGATTTCTTGATCAGCTGCCTCCCATATAGCCACGTTGAACGGCTGCGTACGAGCAAACATGCGGAAGCGATGGTCGTAACCCAGCCACTGGTTAACAGAGTAACCACTGGCCGCAAAACTTGCCATTACACTCAAGTACTTAATTAAAGGCAGACGCATGTCTGGATAATAATGCGTTCGATGAGCCATAAACACAGAGTATGCACTAGCCCACTGTGCAAATGATTCAATTGGCGGCGGCTTAAATGACTTTTTATCCCGAACAGAATAATACTGGAAGTCTGTGGCGGCGAGCAGTTCAGCGAAATCAACGTATCTTTCGTTACTGCGAAGATCGGCTTCAATTTCCGTATCCACTGCTGTCAAATTTAAAAATGGACCAAGGCGCGCACTTACTGGCAGTTTCGTTAAAACAACAGGCGTCGAGCAGTCACTGATTAAGATGCTGTCCCGTTGACCAATATCCGGCGACGCACAAGACTGAGACGGACGATGATGCCCGGCAGATGTTAAATTGTCAATTTGAGCTTGCATTTCTTCCTGTCTACGAAGCAGAGACTCCACTGAAGGCGATATACGGGAGCGTGACTTCTTTCTGGGTGGTGACACTGACTTCCGACTGGACCCGGCAACGCGATAGAGCGTTCCTGTGGACTCATCCGAATCATCAGACAGTACTGAAGACTGTTTTGTGGACGCTTCCGATAAAGACGACACGGATGCGATCTGCGATCTCAGACGACGTGACATTGCACTAGCATATACAAAACAAATCACCAGAAATTCATAAATCGTCAATCACACAAAGAAATTCCCAAACACAATTCGAGCAGCCACATAACTAACTTTCAGACACGGCACTCAGCTACATCAATCGCACAACTTCATACACAAACTTCAAAGATAGTACTATCCATAACATACAATGCTACAACTGACCACTGCCCAAGCGCCCCACCCGCGCCCAACCACATCTCTCCAATCCGCCCTTCATCCTTCTCCGCTGTCTTAACCGGAATTAGCTCCGCTAATTCTATGTAAAGGAGTTACCAAACAGTACAGCGCACCATAACCAAGCGGCATCGTCATTATGCGCTATAAAGTTCTACTGGCACTACACGTTTTCGGGTTTGGTGGCTCACGCCCACGCTTTGATCGGCGTCAACCGAGGCTACGCCGTTACGTACCCAATTTCCTATCGGAGTTTCCACACTGTGAAAACAACTGTTCTAATCTGCGGTGGAGTATTTATCTACATGCAAATTATCGTCGTCCCGTACTATGTTAACCGGTTCTTCCATGTCGACAACTTCTGTGACCGCTCTCAGCACTACGAAGCTTTCACAGTGTTTAGTCAAGCTGCTATGGTCCTTGTGCCGACTGTGGTGGCCATTTCAGCGTATCCAGTTGTCTGGATTATGAGACAAAAGCGAAGGGCACAGATTGCAGCAAAGGGTCCATCTGGCAGCCAATATTATTTTACCAAAGGACGAAGCAGTCACCGAGATAGATCCTTCCTAATCTTAACCACCCTGACAGCGAGTTTATTGGTGTTTTGGATGCCAGCGAAAATTTATTTTTCAGCACTTATTTTCGCTGGTGTAAATCTCGGGTCGATGTTTTTAGCGGTTGCTCTGACACTTGCCATGTTTCAAGCTGTGTCAGATCCTCTCTGCTTTGTTTTGACCTTCCATGAACTGAGAAATGCTGTTTGGATAGTATGCTGCAGGAGAAAGACATAGCAACGTGCTTTGTGATCCACTCTGTAAACGCTTTTCCCTACTCCAGTAAATCTAGTCTAATGATGACAACCTTCGATTCAATACCTATTTTTCGTCCAGAAGTTGCCGATGAGTTTTTCCCTTCAGATGTATTATGTGAATGTGAAGTGTAAGGCGGTGTGAAAACCAAACCCATAAAAACCTATCAGCTTTACAAGGGATATTAATATTGCCATTGGCCCTTTTCTGGTCGGCATCGACAGCAGATTGTTTCTCTATGTATAGCTCAATTTTGGTGTACTCGTAACTCTACGGTACACATGTAAATGGGAATACGCACAGGACGGCTGCACGTGAATGTCTACGTAGCCGTGTGGTCATATTCCATTTGGATAAGTGAAGCAGTACCGGAAACGTATGAAAAAAAGTAACAGTTCCACAGCTCTTTCTTAGAGGCTGATTCGCAATAGTTCATTAATAAGCAACGTAACCAGGTCAAAATGTGTACGAGTATTGGATAATCCGCTTGCAAAGCAGCAGCAATGCGTCCGCAGTTCAAGCAGTGAGGTCACAACTCGTGATCGCTTGGTAGTTTTAATCCATGTTGTGTTAAAGCTTTAATCGTTAAAGGGATGAGAAAGCGCTCTTATTCAGCGCTCTTATGTTTCTGGCATCGCTCCCTGACCCCGTTCACCGCATTCACCCCTTTGTCTCTGTTCTGATTTAATTAAAATTCCATGATCGATTAGGCGCCTCATTTCCGCCCTCACATTCCCATCCAAAAATCGGCCCAAAATTTTTTTAATTTCAAGCGATTTGAAAAGGAAGATTTTAGCCATGCACGCAGCCGAAACCTTCCCTCGGCCCCCGTGCACGCAGCATCGACCTAATAATTGTGTAATACTGTAGAAATGATGCACTGAAGAGTCGGCACAGCATTAAATTACGTATTGCATGGCCTATGCACTACTTGACACGATAAATTTACTGTGGCCAAGGTACTGCCGTCCACTGTCCTGCCGAGTGCCGCTTGTGTCGTGCCAGCTGCCTGCCGGTGGCCTGCCGGTTACCTGCCACTTGCCTGCCACTTGCCTGCCTGCCTGCCGTGACCAGGTTTTAGTAATACCCCATCAACAGACAGTAATCGGAGAATTAATCAACACCGCGTGTTCAGAAGTTGTTACTGCCGCTTACGCAAGTTATCTCATTCAGCACGCGCTTCTGCAAGGCTATCGCCGCCGCTAATCCCGCCGCTATCAGCTGAACAACGCGAAAAACTTCCGACTCCGGATGTATCTTCCTAGAAAGCCAGAAACAAGCACTATTTCGTTGTTTTACAAAATATTTTAGAACACTGTTTCCTTATTATTACGGCGCAACCAAAGTTCTTTGTTCATTCACCATTCATAGCGTGTGCATGTGGCGCGAAAGCCGGTTTTCTCAGTGAAGACCGTCATCGCCGTTGAATGCAAACGCAGTTATGGAAGGCTTGATCAAAAGGCGAATATAAGGTCGATACTACATACCCAGAAACTGGGACACATATTTCACTTAACTTAATGGTGTTGGAGCCGGATACTTTCAGGATAAATCCAAGAAACCAGCAGACAAAAATCAACGAGGGGACATGCGTATTATATGAGCATCCAAATAAAATCAGTGTACCAGTAAACCCACTTCTTATACAGAAACAATGGACGACCAGATATCGGATTTAGTTAAATGTTGCAGAAATCCCTTCATGTTTTGTGCATAGGTCCTCTATTTTATGTAATGTAGTAGCATCTTGTACGGTATTAAGTTAATTAGTAGTAGTACTCGTAGGCAGTCGTAGCGGTACTACGCGTATATCGCCAAGCCATTCCAACTACTCAACGGTACCTGGCAGTTAGAATCGCAGTAGCGATGCAGGTGGCATCCCGAACATCGTTGAAGTTCTAGGTTTTCAAGAAACAGTACTGCACAGCGAGATTTATATGCGCTGTTTTCCAGGATCCACACAAACGGGTCACACGTCATCACAACGTTATCTGCCCAGATATAGTGGCTATCAGCGTTCGGCGCAACTGACAGAGACATTAGGTAAATATTAAATAAATACGTATAATTATGACCCAGTAAAATAAAACTGTGGCTCGGTAGTTCAGAAAGTCATAAGCATGCGGCTCCTGCGATGAAAACCGAAACATATAATTATACAGTTTACTACCATGTACTTGAATTAGAGCGAAAGTGGAACTCAGTGAGAAACCGCTTAATCGCTCTCTGACTGAGTCCCTTTAGGCTCCGCCACGAGGGACGCCGGGCGCCCTTTGTAATCTGAATAACCCACCAGCACTTTCCAGGTCAAACTTATTCACTTTTTACGGGTGGTTTACGTAACCGTTTTTACCTTTAAAAGCTTCATCGATAGTTTTCCAAAATTTATCAACAAAATCAATATCATAGAAATACAGCCATGGGCTCGAACGAGCACGAAAAATCAGCCAGCGACCAAACATTCAACGTAATCACCAACACATCAGAAAACAACAAAACATGTCACTCTCCAAACAACGCAAGTCTTTCGGTAGAGAATATTATACACATTTTCGAAGCTATTTACTGTCACAGAAGGCCTTGGCGATTTCATTCATAAGAAAACTGATGCATCCCACGAACTTGTTGCCCCAAGTGACCTCTTTGGAGCGCTCCCCATACAGCAGAGCAAGAATGTCCCCCGCTTCGTCGCAATAATCCAATATAACAGCACACGCTTGGTCCGACATCGTTTTTAGCTCTTTCCGCTCCGTGGCTGATAGCCGACCAATTTGTTCCACCACATTTTTCTTTAGAGCTTCTGCAGAAAATACTCCAGCCAGCGATAGAACAATAGCGCGAAAAACTTCGTATTTGGAATAAATGTTCCTGTAAATACATTATATTAGCAAATTAGTAAGCATAATATCTCGAAATCGTAATTATATTGATGTAAAACTCCATATACACGCCTTCGGATTATACCGTTCTGAAAACTTTGGCTTTAGGTTCTGCAGGTAGAATACAAATACTAGACCTACCGGACACAGATGATGGTTTCCTGCGTCATTTTCCAGCCGTCCTCGAAACGATTCGCATCGTACAGTTGTTGCGGCAATTTCCATCCGCAGACGTAGCGGAAATGCGCATCCGGCTGCAGGATACCGGCAGCGTCCATTTTCTCGCACAAATCGAGAGCCATAGCCGTGTGGAGGAGTTTGGGATACCGTGCTTCAATGGTTTCATGCTGCGCCACAAAACGACGAAATCCCATCAACCGTTCTGTGTTCAAAGCCCCGCATTCGCTACAGGGCTGCAGAGCGCGATCGTCGCTGGGAATGCGATTCGGGCATCCAACGGTCATGCATTTCATTGGGTTTATATCCGCCTCCTAAAGCAGACAAACATAATGCTTCACTAGTTACTCCCATATGTAGTGTACTACGCAGGAGAACCTTTCGTCGCGCTCTGTTAAAGTGATCTTAAGTTACAGTGCGATTTTGGTTTAAAGCAACCAGCCAACAAAGTCGATTTTAAAGTGTTCTATAAACGAAAATGCTCGATTACATATTCTGGTGTGCATTTCCGACATTTGCACGGAAAACCATGCATCGTTTCAAATTCAGCGCGGCGCCCGGCTCGTGTTAGGTAATACGGTTCCTCCATGCCGCTGTGACGCAGCTGCAACAAAGCAGTAAGAATTTATTCTAACTGACTTTCACTATTTATCATTCAGATTTTGGCAGCACTGACATCTTTCAGTCCGGTAAAGTTGGGAATGTCTTCCACAACGTGGATAAACAAACGGCGTCCACGGTAGCTCAGCACCACATTCTTATCCCAGCAGACCGGCGTCATGAAGCGAGGCGATACCATGGGATACACCGCTAACCCAATGGGCGTCCGATCTTTCACCATATCGTACAAGGGCAGAGCATGATAGCAGATATTGGAACAATAGGTCATCATTTCTGCAAGCGAAATGCCCAGCTGCTTGGCTATATCCGCAATACGATCTGATCTGTAAGGGGCGAATCGGTCAACAGCGCCGGAAAAGTTACACCAAAATTGGTTAATACAGAATCAGTACAAAAGTACCTAGTACCAACATTACTAATTCTCTAGATCGGTTACTGTACCTAAATCGGTTAATTAAAGGGTAATCTTACACTTGCTCTGCAAGGTTTTTCGGTAGTTTGGGGCCGTTAGGAAACATAAGCCACAGTTCTCGGGTTGATTTCAGACCCGATCCAGGAACTTCAATCATTGTGCCCAACTACGAATACATAAATGCTGAATCAAAACGTACTCAAGGGGTTGTCACTCCCTTGAGTGTTAACCCCTTGAGCACAGTTTTGGCTGAATGCACCAGGTTTCCGCATAGAGCAAGCAAGCCCTTCTCTGCGCACTGTATTACATTACAACCAAGCACCTATATTTTTATTTATGCACATTATAGTACTGTACGCAGTCACTCGAACACAAACGGTTTGTGTATGAGGTTTGTGACAAACCACAAGAGGATAAATAAAGAAATGCAGACCGAAGAATTCGGTTGGGGAACTACCTTAATTTTGTTGTCTAGCTTGGCGACGAGATCCCTGGGTACCCCCATAACGAACAGCGTACTGTTACCCGACCGTCCGGGTTCCGTGTCCACGAAACTGCGCGGTCCGATTTTGTTCAGCAGGGCGCATTCCACTTTGTGCTCAACTTTCCAGTCAGCAAGCTGAGGCAAGACCGTACCACCGGTTTTGTTTATTAGTCGTTAACATGACAATCATTTTGGTTTGGGATGCAGAGTAAGGCACATGAGGTACACGTACCTGGCATGTTTCGCTACAGTAGCGATGCACCTTGCATCTCGAGCAGATGCTCAGTTCCTTGATCTTCCTTTCTTGAAAACAGTAGGCACAGCGTACTGGATATTCGCTACTATTCATTACCCACACCATGGGATCGCACTGCAGCACAATATCGCCCGCTGCGAACGAACGCCGACCACTGCCAGCACCCTGCACAGTCTCCTTGTTCTGCATTTGAATAGGTCTACGCGTCTCGCTGCTAAGGGAACTAGCGAACAGGGAGATGATCGATTGAAAGCAATGGAAAAAACTTACGAAAAAAGTAATGAAAGTGATGAAAACAGCGCTTTTGGAACGTTGGATGAAATACAAGTCGACAATTATGAATTTGCACAATTCTGTAATCTTTGATGTGCCGTCAACGACGGTTTTTACAAGAGAATATCGGGTAAGTATTCTGTACTCGTATCTGTAATGCTGACAGTGAAGCAACCAACCATGTGTTTTGCTCGCCGTTCTTTCTCCACGCGGCAGGCAGCTGTGAACAATTTTATATTCCGTAGAACCGTTCCGCATAACCTTATCGCCGGCTGCATTTGCCCAATGTACATGAATGTATGCCACCATGTTGCGTCAGTTTTATCCGGGGAAAAAATCTTAGGAAGTATTTTATGTTTTGAAAATCGGAGAACTTGAAATTTTTAATTTTGCATGAGAAGAATACTTCGAGCCGCTGACTCTCTGTGACTACAACCTGTGTGGAAGGCAAAACAAAATTATGTGCAGGCTTGCGTTTCGTGGTATTTTTACTCTTACAGGCACTTCTTTACTAGAACCGTAGAAACTAAATGATTTTATTTGGAACTTGTACAAGCAAATGCCATTTACACTTAAACTCAAGTAACGTATAGCTAGAACAAATAAAACAACTCTTCTAGCTCTTTCGAACAACAAACAGTTCCCAGAACAGAAGCGGCATTTCCGCGCTGAATTTCGACACTGATACGCTGCCACAAAAATTCGGTAGCACGCGCTTCTCCTGTTTGTTCTTTTATGCGTCTACCAACTTCATTTATGAACTGACGGGTACTGGCGCCGCAACTTCCCATAGTTTCCAAAGACACGGGTTGGAAAGAATAACGATCGGTCAGTTCCGCATAATTTCCTCTTTTTCGTTCTTCTGCACCCTCTGCTGCCGATCCCGCAACTTCTGATGAGCCGGCAATGTACGATATAGCGAATGTGTCGCATACTGTCACATCCCAAATCAAAGGAAGGCCATTCTTCCAAGGGAAAAGAGATAAACCGTCCGGCCGCTTCCCATTAGTCATACTTAATCCCGGTGGCTCCAAAATAGTAGGGACTTTTGCTGATCCCAAGCTGCGCTGTATGAGGCAGTTCAGGCTTGCATGACGCCTGAATCTCCCCTGACTTTTCAGACATGACAATCCGTGCAAGCCTTGGACATCAACCATTTCTCCGCATCGACATCTGTGCTGTTTACATACCGGCGCTCCCATTCGTAAAGCAACAGCAACTCGTAGTCCAGCATCGTCCAGAAGTGTGCCAAGGCTAGCAACCGGCAAAGCCAACAACCAGGCACTAGCACCCTTAGTGGAGGTAGCCAACAAGCGAGCAGAGGCGATAACGTCGGCATTCTCCTTTAAGGTTTCCAGCTTCCTGGTAGTCAGCATGTCCGACCACAAGCGTTGATTGCTTCGGTCCTCCGTTGCTGGGGCAGATTTTCCTGTTAACTCTTCCCAGCGTGACTCGACATCCAATCGGTCCTCAGGGCAGTCTTCAGGCACAATATTATCAACCAGCTCATCAGTGCCATAAAGTGAAGAGAGATACGCTGGAACTGCAGTTTCTGCAACCGTAGAAACGTTCGTATGAATAGCACTCTCTGCGTATAGACAAAAGTGAGGTAGTGTTGAGAATAATGTGTGATGTTTTTATTCAACAGACAATTAACGTAAACAACAAGCCAGCGCTGATAGACACTATTGAAAAGACTGAGGTTTATACATTAAAGAAACAACCATGTCGTGTTCTTGAACCGGATCTAGACCGTGATATTATTGTCACGCTTTTCAATTAAAATTTGGTACATCCTGAATCGTCTTTCGTAAAACACTGCTGATGCAACCGGCTGTTGCCACCATTGTTGACTGCAAATTTGATTTCAGTTTAAACTTCGTGAAACTGAACATAGTCGATGCAGTATCAGGTACAAATAGTGTGTGCCATCGTCAAAGCGAATAAGGTACCTGCATGCTGCTTTACAAAATTTCAAATGACAGGCACTGACTGCTTTGGAGGTTTTGATGCAAGCGGCAAACATGCTAACGATTGCTCCTACACGCCACGCGAGAACACCAAAGGTGGGCTCGGAATTTACTTCCTTTGGGCAGTTATGCCGAACATGGCCGGAAACGGCCCCAAGCCATCACAAGACAACAAAAACAAAAAATTTTTTACGCAGCAAGTGACACATGTTAGCGTTTAACTTTTCCCCATTTATACCAATTCGCACACACATACATTACTGTAACAGAGAGACCACTAGAAAGGGGGCGTGTTGTGTGTCGCAATACCCGGATTCCTGCGTCCCTCTGAATCCAATCCATTTCAACGTATTGTGAAGTTGCGGTATTTATGGGTGTTCTCCTCACAACTGCGGTAAGTGCGATCGTTCGGAAACCGTGTTTTTTTAAGGATATCTCTGTAGTCAAGCAAGGATAGCCTTCAAACATCATCCGCTGATCCGCTGCTGGTAAATGAGAATCCCAAAGTGATTTTGAACAAACCCTTTGATTCGTTCAATGCTAACAGAGTTCAAAGATTTTTAAGGATAAAGCGTACCTCCAAGGACTTTCAGAAATTGTAAAAGATAAGATTTAAAAGACAATTTAAGGATATCCCCAGTTCTCTTGATGTATAATTCTTCTATCTATATAAAATAATGAAACAAATAATTACAAAGGTGAGAAAATAATGGAATAAATTAAGTTTCAGTTTGCTAAGTTGTTGTAATACGGAAACGACGGTTTTTAACCCAGTACACGTCTTAATATTAACAACCGTGCTGCAAGTGATTTTATCGAGAGCATTATTTTTTGAGAGCGTACACGGTAATGGCGCTGACCATGAACTGCACAGCGACACTCACGATGAAGCTATCATTCAGCCGGGATTCAGCCTGCCTCGCACTCGCAGCGCCCACAACTATAAACCTGTGCTCAGCTCTACAGTTTTACCACGGAGCATGGATGGCAACAACGGCTCGAAAGGATTAACCGATTTAAATGGAAAAGCCTCGGAGCAACATCACCCGGAGAAAAGGGACATCCAGCCGACTCCAGTAACTGGGTTGGGATGCAGCACGCGCATAATGTGACTTACAACGACTCGCACGATGTGGCTGACCACGACAACAACAAGCACGTCTACAGATACGTCCACTGCAACGGAAACCTCTACCAGTACGTACACCACCACTGACACATCGACGTACGAGTACACGAGCACAGTCACCGTAACCCGCTGATGCAAAAACGTACAAGATTTCGTGGGAAAGGAAAAGGGAATCAATCGGAATAAGGAATCCATATTCCAACACACGACAGACATCTTTTGTAATGGTTATTGCTAGATGCATAGGCGAAGGGGTATAAATTAGAGAATGAGGAGTGTTAACTCGTGTCATATTGACGAATTAATAAAAAGTTTTTTGTTTTCTATTGTAGGGTGGCTTGGGGCCGTTTCCGGCCATGTTCGGCATGCCAGATAAGAATGCGTCTGCGTGATGGGAACAATATCATCTCCGGCTTTTGGTATATTTTCAGTTTCCAGATAAAATTTATGTACGACAGGTTTAGCTTATGGACGTTTGCCATCCTTATGCCCAGATCAGAAGAATCCATCACGAAAAGGAAGCGATGTTTTCTATCACAGTCTATAGGACCTAGAATTTTATAATATGCACCAAAGCACTTCTTCCTCTAATGCTATACCAAACCAGCATGCTTGGCTAAGGAATAAAACACGGAATTGGTATCTTTCAGCATCTCTGCGGGTGGAGCGAATTCCACAATTTTTCCTTGATCCATCACCATAATCCTACAAAATTCACACGGTCTAAAGAAATCCTCGCACACGTCTAAAGAAATCCTCGCACACAAAAATCCTCGCACACGGTCTGAAGAATTCAGTATTTATTGGAGAAATTAAAATATAACCTTGTGCTGTCCATGACGGTATTCAGCCTGTGAGCGATGGTTAGCACTGTGCAGTCAACAAATTTCTCCCGGATAGTTTTCTGAATAAGCTCATCTGGAATAAAGAGTAATTGCATTGGCATCTCACCAGTAGCCGGTTGTCAAAATAGTCCTTCTATCATCTTAATTCGCGTGTACCAGCGCTGGCTTTTTATTCTATGAAGTGGTCATTGCCGAATAAAATATGTAATAAGTCTACAAGCTACAGATACATTGGTCAAGAGTTTAAAAAAATTTTACCGGTTTGCAGATCAATCGCAGCTGTTGCTTCGTCCATAATGAGGATTTTCGTCTTCTTTAAGAGAGCTCGGGCTAAGCAGAGCAGTTGTCGTTGACCAACACTGGAAACATTGTAACATAAATGTAATGTTTGTTGTTCAAATTTGCTCTCGGGGGCACCGAATTACAGTTAACATATAATACATGTAATAAATGATATACGTAATGTCATTCAGTATCAAAAAAAGCATCTCGAAAGTACTTTTAAGTTTGTCATCGTTCTATTGTTTTTCTCGGGATTGCGCTTTTTGATAATGCTTTCGACTAGTGTTTTCTACGGACAACATTCTGGTAGTGACGATTAAGCCTGACGGTGGGCCATGAGCGTACCTTAAATTTTCTCCGCCTTCCGCAACAACGTGCTGCAGACCGTCGGTCAAGGTGGAGACGAATGTTTTCAGATGCGAGTCGTTCAGAGCCTGCCACACAGCTTCGTCCGTGTACTTGTCAAATGGATCCAGATTCATTCGCAATGTTCCACTGAATAAGACCGGCTCCTGCAGAATGTTTTAAGAAAATTGTTTCTCTGATAGGGAAGCTTTTAAACCGTAATCGCAGTGTCCATGAAGCTCAAATTTTTACCTGCGGAATAATTGTAAGATGTGAGCGAACATCATGCAATCCCATGCTGGTTAGGTCGATATTGTCGATAATGATGCTCCCTCCCGCAGGCTCCACAATGCGAAAGAGTGCCAAGGTCAAAGAACTTTTACCGGCGCCGGTTCGTCCAACGATTCCAATCTGCTCAAAGAAGGCACGAATTAAATTAAATTAAGCTAAACCGGACCTATTACTTCAAATTAATTTCATGTCTGTGTAGCACATTCAGAAAATACGGTAATGACCTTTTCGCCGGCACTAATATCGGCATGGACGCCCGTCAGCACCAGGTCCAGTTCCGGTCGATAACGTGCTTGGTAGTTGTCGAACACCACTTTCCCTTCGTGTGGCCAGTTCTTCGGGGGGCGTTTATCAGGGCGCACCCATTCGGCTTCCTGCGCGATCTCCGTATACTCTTGGACACGCTCAATCGAGACGAGATGATTCTCCACTTCACTGGTCATTCGCACCAACCAGTTCAGCAGTGATGTTACCGATAGTGTGTAATTTAAAATCAAACCAGTTTCCTTCGGCTCGACCAAACCGTTGCCGCGACCCACCACGGCGAAAATGGCGGCGAACAAGATTATGAGGTTGCCCATAAATTCCAACATGACCGCCACCCATCTGCAAAGCCCAACGAATTGAAATGAAAATCATTTTTTTCGTTATCGAAGCTTTTTTTAAGAAGAGCTTTAGTGACCTTTGAGAATACAGGTTGGCGTAAGCTGCCTTGTTGTTGTGATCAACACGCTCGTCGTTTTCGTGCATAAAACGTTCGGTTTGTCGGGTGGCGATGATCGTTGTTGTGCCGGTAATGGATTCTTGGAAATGGGAGAAAATTGGTGATCGCGATGCGGAATCCAGCCGTTTCAGTTGACGGCTGGTGGCGATGTAAAACCGTTGGATGAAAAAGTACAAAATAGCCAACGGAACGATAACTGCCGCGAAATATGGAATGATCACACAGATCTGTCAAATACAAAGAGCTCTTTTACTGGACGAGAAATTGTTTATAAGAAAATGTACTTACGAAGATAATCGTAGCTAATACACTGAGCGCAAAACTGAGAAAGATCATCAGTGACATCGGTAACATGAGATCGATGGCTTCGATATCTTTGCTGAAGCGGTTGATGATGCGTCCAAGCGGTGTCGTGTCAAAAAACGCCATCGGCGCATGCAGCACACGCCGCAGCATACCGCGATGGAGGGTGCGCGAGGCGTACACCTGGCCGACGGCGTTCATTAAACACGCGGCCATGTATGTTAATCCTAAAAACCCATCCATAATCATAAAAATTGTTGCAGCTGTTTCATGACTTGCATAAACAAAATCCTTGTTGTCTGTGGTATTTCACGCTACGCTGAGTTACTACATTCTCAGATGGTTACGCATTGACATTGGCGCATGTCGGCTTGCAATTAGAGTGCAAGTTGTAGGGTCGCGCCTGTCTACCTGTCAAACACGCTATTCGGGACACTTCTTACGAAGATTTTATAAATTTTGTCAAAGGTCCTGTAGGTCTTATATTTTTATAAAACTACCGCTAGATAAGTTATGTAAAAAACTGCAACATGAACTCACCGGGCTCTGAATCTTACGTTTTGGGTCAAAATTGTATTTTCGGTGTTTTTTTGGTTAAATGAAATCGTCTGAATGAGGGTGGACAAAATCGAAAACCAATGACAAATGGGAAACAGCAAAATGTTACCTAAAGCGCCACCTATTCCACCGTAGACACCCAGGCGATAATCTCTCCATGAGGGATCGGTACGCCGCTCCTCAAACTGCGCATCCTCCGACCAATCACCCAGCCAGACGTTACTGTAGACATTCAGCGCATTGTACGCGGAGAACCCGGCGATCATGGAGAAGAAGACCGGGTACGTCATGTATCTCATATACGACACGAAAATGTTCCATTTCACATTGCCGACTTCCATCTTCTCTTCCACTAACGCTGCATCCGGCTTCAGGACTTGTTTTTCGGGAACCTTTTCCGGTATCATACTGCTCCGTTTCTGTGATATCTTGGAAAAGGTTCGCCGGACTTTCCGGAGTGTCGCGGTGGAACTGGTCCGTGACCGCGGTTCCACATCTTCGGATACTGACACAACATCCGCTTCGTCGTCCTCCGCCATCTCGGAGAGATACGAGCGCAGTAGCGCGGAGAACGAACCGTTGTTGTTCAGCAGGGTTTTGTAGGTTCCCGTTTCAGCAATCTCACCATCTTCGATAACTAGGATGTTGTCCGCTTGTGGAAGGAAGCTGACGCCGTGTGTTACGAGGATTCGTGTTTTCCCAGCAAGCAGACCTTTTGGTCCGATGACTTGCTCGAATAATTGTTTGCCACTGCAATAAAATTATACATCTGCTAAGTTCAGAAAACCCATAGATTGACTAACGGCTTACACATGGGCATCAACAGCACTGAGTGGATCATCCAGAAAACACACGTCGGCATCGGCATAAACAGCTCGTGCCAGAGAAATGCGCTGTTTCTGCCCGCCGCTCAAATTCAGTCCCTTTTCGCCAATCTGCGTCTGGTCGCCATTTTGCAGTATAAGCAGATCCGGTTCCAGTGCACAGCATTTTATGACGCGATCATATCGTTCCCGATCCATAGGCTTTCCAAACAGAATATTCTGCTGAACCGTCATGTTCTACAATGTAAAAGCAGGCATCTCGAAAATGTTTCGGGAACTGACCATGTTTTGTCCTGATCGGACTTAAGTTTTGGCTCCTTCGTTTTTACTTTAGGGAAACAGAACGTCCAATAAACTAAGCCTGCAGTTTGTTAGATATTTCGCGAGTTTTAGTGATCGCAGTCATAGCTGCACTGGTGACCTTACATCCTTCCCAAACTGCTAACACGAAGCTCTACTAAAAAGCTCTAAAAATAAAAGCACGAAGCTCTAAAAATAAAAGCTCTACTTGCGCTGCGAGCAGCGCTTCGGTATATAGTTGCTGTTTGCTTAAGAACTGCAAGGTTTGCAAATTTACCTGTATCCAAGCTTGTTGGCTGACATACGAAATCGTGCCCTGAAAAATTCGGACTGTAAGCTTCTAGTTTCTTGTCATAAATAACCAGGAGTTGCACATATTTATGTACTTTAACGGTCACTTCGCCTCGCTTCTTCTCCATCATCCCGAGCATCGCCGACACCAGCGAAGACTTGCCGGCACCCACTTTTCCCACTACGGCCACCAATTGGCCGGGCTTGATCTCCACGTTGACATTCTGCAGAGTGCTGGCATCCTTCTGGTCCCACGCGAATTCACCGTTCTTCACCAGCACGGCTTCCGCTACGGCTGGATCGGATTTGGCTAACAAACGCACATTATCCGGATCGAGTTCTTCGTTGGTCAGGAACCTGGCTATGCGGTCAATGGACACCCTGGCCTGAAACGTTTAAACCTGCTCTCTAAGCTGTTCGACGTTTTGTGTTGTTTGGAAATAAGTACAATACCTGGACAAGCGATGTGATAACCAGCGGGAAATTCGTCAGCGGTTGGCGCAAAATATTAAACAAGGATAGACTAACGAAGGCTTTTTGTGTGTCCAAAACGTTGCTTTCGTCCATGAAGATATATGTGGCAAAGGTCACCAACGCTACCAGAAACGGCGATACCGTCCATACGAAAAAGGTCATGGACGTCAAGAAAGCGGCTTTTTGAATGCTTCGCATCTATCGAAACAAATCTCTTGTAAAAGTACGTCACGAATAAAACATCAAATTTGCACTTACTTCGTTTTCTCGGATGTCCGAAATTTGCTTTTCAAAACTGCAACGAGTTAAACTTTGATATTACTCGAATAATGGCTACCTTGATAGCGATAATTTATAATTGCTACGCTTCTGTTTCCGTCAACTGACTGGCGCAACGTTTTTATTTGGTGTGACGCCAAATGTACGCTATAAGACCTTTGCCTACCTTTCTTCCCATGCGTACAGCTTCAGCACTTTAATCCCGTTCAGCACCTCATTCGTAAGCTTGATGCGCTTATCCTTCTCTTTCATTTGCATTACCTGCACAATTCCGTAGTGTTAAACGAGCTCAAAATCGCTTCTTCCTACAAACCGTATGATAGTTTTACCTGAAACTTTCGAGCAGCAATAGCGGTAACGGTATTGATGGGGACCAACAGAATCATAAAACCCAATCCAGCGAATATGGACACACCCAGCTGCTGGTAGAGAAAATACAGGGAGATGCCCACTTGTAGCGGAGACGCCCATAGTGAATGTAACGAATGCGCTAGGTCGAAGAACTTTTGGGTGTCCACCGCCATCAAATTAACGATTTCTCCGACGGTGCTGCTGCGTTTGGCAGCACTAGTAATTCGCAGAGCCTGTAAAACACAGATATTCGCATCAAGTGTCATTGTGCTAATCTACGGTAATACGAAGCAGGTGAAAGCAGCTTTTGACTTAGTTATGCAAATACCTTTCGATAAATGGCTGCTGTAAATCCGGCCTGCAACAAAAACGGGTAAGTTATGAAATGTCCATTCGTTTTGCCGGTTAAATTCTGGTGTTGCGACCTACCTTCGATCTTGAGCCCATCTTGAGCACATACATCATGAAATTGCTAATCAATGTGGATTGCGTAAATGTCGCCGCAAACATAGCCACAGCGTAGATGTACCCTTTCCACTCCGGTTGACTCATATCCGCCGCAAAGGCAATCAGCAACCTAAGCAATGATTGATTTGCAGTTTTCATGCTGCGTAATTTGGAATGGATTTGAAAAGTTTTAAATTTACTGCAGCAGTTGTGGCGGAATAAATCCGATAAGATCGATGGCCAGTTTGAGCAATCCGCTAAGTATCATATCCACCCAAACGGTTTTGAACCACACTTTGGTGAGGGATGGGATGGTCGGCTTTTTCTCGTTAACTGTCATATTTCTGCAAATTACAACTTAATATATTAAATAATTTGAAAAACATTAGTTTCTTCCAACCACTAAATGAGCTCAAACAGTACAGATAATTATGCGACGCCTTACTTCTTTCGATGCTTTTCCAGCTCCTCGCTCCAGTACTTTTCAAGAGTATGTGCCAAGGGCGTAACCTGTTCTTCATACCGCAAATCCCACAGATCTTCAAATTCCAACGGTTTCCGGTAGCCCAGAATAGCCATTCTGAAGGAACGAAACATCGATGTTAAATGTTTTGTTTCCAACGAAATGCATCAACTGCTGCCAACAATTACAGCTGATCGAGCCAGATGCGACTTACGGTGTAAACCAGGCATACATATAGCGGATTGGAAAGGATGCCGAAATTTCTGGCGATGGATTCTACAATAACGCTTAATTCATATAAGCACCAAAACTTATTTTTACGATTAATATGAATTAATGAGCCTTTTTTCTACCGACCTTATCGCCGGCAATGCGCGCATCGAACTTTTGCGCAAGGAAAGTGAGAATCAGTTGGATGCTGATCAGTATTAAGGCCACAATATTTAACGGCATTTCAGCTGCCCGCAGATCCTGGAATGGACGGGTTTTTTTCTAGCTATTTCGATCATTTTTCATTGTGTCATTCTATTATACAGATTTGTATATGAATTTACATGGAAAAAAAGTATATTTTGTATGGCGACATTTTATAACAAGAAACCAGAAATTTATACGCACAAATAAAAAAATAAGAAAGATTAAACTAGCGAAACGGGGATTTATTATAGCATTGTATTTAAAAAAGTGTTTTTTGCATATTATAAATCCTTTCTTCCTAGCAAAATTTCCTTTTTTCTGGTTACATATAGATTAGAAAATAAACTTATGCAAAATCCAAACCATTAGCGTAACTGATTATTGATTACTACGTATCGCAACGGTTATCGTGGTAATTTACTTGTGTATACGATCGTCTGACGATACCGCGTAAACGGATGATGCATCCCAGGAGGGTGAGTAACCAGAAGATGAATAATACTGCCGACGATGAACGAGCACTTCGCCGGTCGGTGTAGACGAAGAATGCCGCTAACAGCTGCAAAATAACAACAAACCGGTTGCAACCATAGCCGGCAAAAGTATGAAGCGTTTTTTATATTCAGATCCGGCTCATAATAAAAACATGGTTTTATTGTGTGAACGTCGCATCCTTTGACTTCGATTTTTAACAGTTTCCTGTGACTCATCGCTGGCCATTGTGTGCCCGCGTTTACCGCATAATAAAAAATAAGCGGCGTTACTAATAAAAGATTAATTACTTGTCATCTAAAATGTCTCAATTATCCAGTTTAATTATCCATCAATTTACACTTCACTTCAAGCCATTTTAGCCAGAACACCTGTTTCAGCAATTTTATTTTTTATTCAAGCCTTTTAGTTTTTACTCTTTATTATTCTTATAGAATTTTATTCATTTGCGTTATGGGAATAATAATTTAGTAATTATGGGAAAATAGTTTTGTTGACTTACGAAAGAGCTTCCCTGGATGAGTGCAGCAAAAAACACTGCATTACCAACGGACGCGTAATCAGCATCCGTTATCCAACTGCTGGCTGTGATCCCCAAATCTGCGGCGCAGACTGCAAACAACGCCAAACAAAGCGCCTAAATATCAAATAAAAGTCACAATTAAACTAACTTGAAATCTCTTTAACACAAATAATTTACTGCAAGTAAAATTATTTGAAGGCTTTATTATTTTGTTTATTTTACGTACCACTTTGCAATGGGCAGCCATGTCCAACGCTGCTCTTTCCACCGACTACGCAGAATACGGAAGGCTTGAAAGGGAAGCGCCGCCCACAGGAAGAACGCCGGCACCCAAACCGCGACGGTCGTCTGAAAGCACTGCGTGAAATCGGGATCCGTGGTGTTCCATGTCAGAGAATAATCCCACAGCGGATCCGCACAGAAACCCCGATAAAACGGACCGTCAGCCATTTTTTTAATGTAAATTAAATAGGTTTATCTAAGAAATAAAGGTTTTACGGTCAAGACGTACAAACTTACGTACTACTGGGTTAATAATTTTAAAATTGCGATATTGTATGTTTCTGCTGAATAATTTACAGCTGCGGTATTTCAAGTGCGTGCCGTGATAATCAGCAAAATTGCTGCATTAGCCACCATCTCACGCCGAGCATGACTTGTCGGTTGCAGACAATTAATATAGAATAATTTGCGCTTCCCGTGGAGTATTTAACAATCTGGAAACATGATAAGTCCTGACACGGCGGAGATAAACTGACACAGTGGCTCATATTGTAAACAGTTGACTGAAGAGAAAATGCCGTATCGGCACTCTCACTGATAGAAGGAAGGCCTGCGTAAAATGAGGACCTGTATTTGCGATGATTTCATCGCATGTACGGGTCAAAAGCCACACGCTGCATCGATCGGATGTCTGCCGGCTGCAACAGCTACAGAAACCGGTTTCCCGCTATTATCAGTACCCTGTTATAGTGCTGTATTAATTTGTATTGTATCGATTGGTTATGGGTGATTGACATTCAAATGTGCCGGTGATGTGAAAATGGTTAGCAGTGCATACTAAACGCGACACCTGACAAGAATCCTGGATTTATTGTGATAATTATCATTTTAATATAATTAACTGCCGCGGGCACAACGCAAAGTGCTTTGGCGCATTGTGCTATTCCGTAAGCGCATTTCCGGCGTAAATTAGAAAGCCAGCGGCGCAAAAGTAGTTCATTAAAATACCAGTAGCTATTGTTTCCCATCTGCGTCATTTCATAATCGCATAGTTATTAAACAATCAAATGATTATACGTATGGGGACCGAACAAACAGAGTCGACAACGCTTTTACTCGTATTTCGTCAAGACGAGTTACCGGCCCTGCCCGTAAATCAAAAGTAACCGGTTTCTGATAGCAGCAGTCCCGTGGTTAAAGGCGTCACGCACACCACAGTAGTGACAATATTTTACTGATAGTCAGCAGGGTTACAACCGGGAACGCGGTGATGCAAAGTGCTGCTGCTGTGTGGTATCTTAGGTTACATACAGCTGTATGCTTTCTTAGGTTATATTCTTAGGTTTTCTTAGATTTTCTCATGGTCCGCTCTTCTACCAGATGGTAGGGGGCGTTAATCGTTGTTTTGCTTATCCCGGATGCACCGATAAGGTTGTTCCCCGCTAGGGGGTTACCGGCATCCAGCTGACCCACGTCCGACAATTCGAGATTGATTTCCCGGGTATGTCTCGCTAGTTTAATCTGCCCGCTTCCTGATAAGTTGTCGCGCACAGATTCTGCTTCCGAACAAAAAACGGGGCGATTTTACAGAGTGGTAACGAAATGGGCCATAGGTGTACGAGACAACTGCCAGATGATGATGGTCCGCACATTTTCCACATTATAAATTAATTATCGTATAAGTAATCAATTCACGAGCGTCTATTTTGAGCCAGTGTACGAGCAATCTTGTTTGGTCGGAAATGATATTCAACGAACCATCCGCATGTGCGTGTTTCTTGCTTATTGAGGCATTACTAAGTGTTTATCGGTAGTGATTAGCGAGACGGATGTGCGGTGATACCAGGCAGAAAGATGCTCGAGAGCTGATGATGTCCGGTCGGGTTGTTTGCGGTTTGACGGGCAGCCAAAAACACCGCTCTGCCCGCGTAGCACGTCGATACATACAAAGGACGCTCCAAAAGTAAGTTTCCCTATTTTGCCTCTCCCGACTTGAACGCTTTTAGTTCTGATGAACCATATTTTTAGAAACGTCCTTCATTAACGAACCAAAATAAAATATAACTCTACTTAACTACAGTATGGGTGGTCAAAATCTTCTGTGTAATCGATGCGTGTAGCGTAAAGGCCAGAACAAGTAAAAACAACCCGATGAATCAGCCAAAAAGCTGTCAACAAATGATAAGACGAGTATGTTTGCGTGCCAGGAAAGAAACTGACCACCAAAGTGAAAACAAAAGTTACTTTTAATGCAAACTACGGCGCCATATGAACTAGTCTGCATCATGTGCCGGCATAACGAAGACATCGCTGCGCCTGTCAGGCTGCAGTATTCTTTATTTGCGAGGGGTTCAAAAATTAATTGCACGAGTATAAATTACAGTAGTGGCAATAACTGTTGTGATTTCTGCAATGGCACCACCATCTAAAAGGCAGAAATTTCTGAAAAGATTATCAGTTTAAAGATCGAAGAGTTAATCAATGATGAAACGGAGCAAGCCTTGTTAGAAAGCGATTCCGAAAGCACCAGCGATAGCGATTTTGATGCGCTTGAATCAGAAGACGACGATGTTGAGTTCATGTTGAAATTTAAAGTGGGTCTCTAGAGCCGTCGTTATTTAAGCCGGCAACAAATTCCTAAAAGCAGGTTTTTTTTGGAACACGTTTTACCGGCTTTAGACGATGACAGTTTGCGCCAGGAATGGCGAATGTCTAGAGACGCTTTTCTGAAAATTGCTGGCGAGTTGCTTTGGCTGCATTGGTTTTGTCTTGGACCACCGAAACGTTGCCGTCAATTACCTTTGGTTGAATTGGCGTTTGTTGTTTCTTCTTCTTGGGGGACTTTTTTTCTTGGGAGCTTTCATGATTGCAGGTATGAACCAGATACAAAAGTGCTCTGATGTGGCAGAATGATTTTCACAGAGCGAAATGCAAAATATACTGGTAATTCCGTAATTAATCAAGACAAGCGACATATCAGTTCATAACATAAGAAATTATACAAATCCATTGTATAAAGTTGTTGGCAAAACGTTTACAACAAAGAACTCTGCTGGCTGACTTATACGTGTGTATGTCTGGGTAAGTAATGGTTGCGCTTCGATATCGAAGCGCAACGCTTACATGGACGAGTAAGCTGATAGCCCATCCCAGAATTCTTGTTTACGAATGAGCACGTTTGCTTGTTTACGCGCCGTTGACTCATGCTTTTTACCCAACTGCCGCGTAAAGAATACACAGAGATTTTGACCACCCACAGTATACAGATACAATCAAGTGGAAAAGAACTGCCGAGAAAGCCGTTCAAGGTTTTCGGCACTTTGCCACGGGTTTTACCCTGACAGTTTTTGTTATTTTTCTCAGTCTTCCTGCTCGATTTTTGGAAACCACCAAATATCATCAGATTAGGAATTCTTTTCTGTCCTAATTCCAAGTACGAAACAAAATAACTTCTTTGCAATGCTGTTCCAGAAAAGTAAAAACTCTCGATGTCTAGGTGAAAAAACCACAGATCTGCTCAAGGTGCCAGACGGTAAAAAATCGAAAATTTCTTGTAAAACATTATAGTTGTCGGTACAATTTGAAGTTATTTGTGTCCAAGGGACCAAAAAGCGCATGACTGCGCATGAAATTTTCTTTTTATTGATGCCAAGAACTTATGGATTCATATCAGCAAGAAGGCTGAAAAGGGGGATTCCGGCGTCGTGGAGAGAAAAAATGTTTGTTCTCCTCCGTAAATTTTTCAAACCATTTTGTTACTGCAGTAGCCAGTAATATTTAGAACAGTATTTTTAGCTGGTACTTTAAATTTGCTGTCGAAATTATAACAGGGACGGAAGTGGTAATAGAAAAAACTCGTGGAAATGAATGTATGAGTAGTATTGCTTCTGTTTTTCGTTGTCCCAGTTCTTCATTGAATCTTTTGATTCTTATTTCTCTAATTAGTTTACATAATTGCTTATACAACAAAAAATATATCTGTTACTTCAAATGGAAGGGAGGCAAAATAGGGAAACTTACTTTTGGAGCGTCCTTCGTACATATACCGTCGAATGTCGATGGAAGTGTACAACAGTAACGGTTTGTCGTTTTTTCATGTATCCACCGACCCAGAGAAAACCGCGATACACTACCGTCTGTCTACACTACGGTGCGTATTGTATGACTGGCATCCACAACCGGGATCACGCAGAACGACCGGCAAACTATTAGTGCACAACCAAAACCGTCCGGCTAGTGGCTGTTTCCCGATTATAAAATGCTAGACAAATCTAGGTAGGCAAACATTTTCCTAGGTGGTTACGGTAAAACATCCCAGAATCAGCAATAATGGGAGTCCCGCAATACGGCAACGAAACCGGGAAGGCATTGTTCTTGATTATATGCAGCTTGCAATGCCGCGAGTAACGAGCAACGTTGACAGCTACCGCACTCGTTTCAACTCGCGCAGTAACTGCAGGCCCGGTCAGTTTCAGCTTTTCTCGTTTAAAAAGCGATTTAGGTATATATTTCTTTAGTAATTCTGTGGTATTCTGGCGAGTATTATTGTGCCTAACTCGCAATGTATTATATCGATACAACGTTGCCGCGCATGGGGGTGGATTTTATTAACAGAATCCCTGGGGGACGAATTTGTCCACCGGAAACGAACAAACAACTGCAATGCACCAAACAATTGCATAGCGTAAACGACAAAATAACGCCTGCACAGGGCAGGTACGCCTCCGCACGAATATACATAGATCCACCACAAAACAACTATATTTTATTTTGTGAACAGCAAATATCTTGGAGAACAAAGCTAAATACATAGATTACAAGAAAAAATATCTTCCACTTGTCCGAAGTCTCCACGGTATCCGCGTTCCTAGGAGTGGGCGGGTGGGAAAATTGCTTGCTGCTGCTGCATGCAACTGGAAGTTGCCGGTATGTCGCGCTTTAATATGCGCCACCGATGACCGGTGGCCGGCCGATAGGAGGAGTGGCTATCCGTGTAGCCAATAATAAACAGATTCTCAACAGACAGAATCTTACTCATTTATCTTATTTTTTGCGATGTTCCGCATTCAGGCTGTTAATGGAACACCATCGACCTTCCCCAAACCGAACTTTAACCATTACATTAATTTCGTTTCACGCGAATTTCATACATTTTTGTTTTTATTTCTCATTTGCACTACCACACTAGTGTTAGAACGGTTAACAATAAGAACGGGCATCGCATTCCGAATGCATGACAGCTGTCCGATCATCAAGCGACCCAATCGATCCGGCATGCACTGGCCGTATACAGGGTCAATCGATTACGTTGCTGGCTCAGTACCGAATGACAGAATGTAGAGACCGGTCAAATACGGTGGTCAGATAGATAGATATTTAGCACAGTGAGATTCGTTTAAAGATTTGGAAAACCAACCTCTGCTTAAAGGAAATTACGAAGTGAGAATCTGTATTCTGCATTGCAGGTAGCGTAACTTGTGGCGCTTGTTACCCGTCTCTAGAATGCTCCATACACGGAGCCGTGCAGTCCTGTTCCTTGCCGTTGGATGTTCATGGTTATCCAGTTCAGTCTACAGGACCCAGAATTTTCTGACATGCACCAAAGCATTCCTTCCGCTTACGCTACACCAAACCAGCCTGCTTGGCTAAGGAATAAAACCCGGAATTGGTATCTCTCAGCATTTCTGCGGGTGGAGCGAATTCCACAATCTTTCCTTGATCCATCACCATAATCCTACAAAATTCGCAAACGGTCAAAAGAATCCCGTATTACTTAAAAAAGCATAATACAACCTCGTGCTGTCCATGACGGTATTCAACCGGTGAGCGATGGTCAGCACCGTACAGTCAACAAATTTCTCCCGGATAGTTTTTTGAATAAGCCCCTCTGCAATAAAGAGTAACTGCATTGGCATCTCACCAGTTCGAAATAATAGGAGCAAAATTTTATCCGGTTGACAAAAAGCCTAAAAGCTACATTGGTAAGAGTTTAAAAATTTTACCTGTTTGCAAATCAATCGCAGCCGTTGCTTCGTCCATAACAAGGATTTTCGTTTTCTTCAAGAGAGCTCGGGCTAAGCAAAGTAGTTGTCGTTGACCAACGCTGAAAACATTATCTATTCATACAATCTTATCGTTCAAAACGTATTTTTCCTGGGTTTTTATGGATAAATCAACGCGTAGTCAGCTTCTTAAGTCAAGCTAAGTCGTAAAAAATTCCTAATTTTCTATAGGTGTGCCTTCTGAATTTAGATTTTTTTTAGAAGGCCTTCGTCAAAAGACATTCCGACAGGTTCTTAAATATAGAAAATGGAGTAATATAATTAGATATTATTCGTATATCATGCTGGTACAGTGATAGTGGGGTACTACAGTACTGTACATTCCTACGAGTAAAACAAAGTGTTACCACGAAGGCAGCAATTATCGCAATAATATAGAGAAAAATCGGAATTGCGCGGGCCATTTAATGAAAAAGTGAGAAAATAGCCTGTGGTCACTGGATCACGAAAAAAACGAGGGGTGGTCAAATATTACTTCCGTCAAAAAGGGTATTCCCGAGCGCGGAGCGCGAGGCATACCTTGTATCAGTTGTATGATATGAATGTGATGTTTACTGTTAAGTTTGTTTACGCTGAAACAAAATTATCTGTACAATATACAATAAATTGTGTAAAAAATGTCGTGCAATATCGCTAGGAAAGGTGTCTATAAAGTATTGTCATCGTGCTACTGTTTTGACCGTGATTGCGCTTTTGGTAATGCTTTTTACGATCTTTTTTGTACAGATTACATTCAGGGGAGGAGATTCAATACTGGTGGTGGGCGCACCTTAGATTTTCCCCGCCTTCCGCAACAACATGCTGCAGATGATCGGTCAAGGATGATACGAATGTTTTCAGTTGCGAATCTTGTAGCGCTTGCCACACAGCTTCGTCGGTGTACTTGTCAAAAGGATCAAGATTCATGCGCAATGTTCCACTGAATAAAACCGGCTCCTGCAGAATGCATTATTGGAAAGTTAGTATTACGAGAACTCATAAGGAAATACAGAGTATGTAAACCATGACCCACAATGTCCATGGGACCATGAAGCTCAGATTTTTACCTGTGGGATAATGGTCAGATGTGAGCGAACATCATGCAGTCCCATGCTAACCAGGTCGATATTGTCGATGATAACGCTCCCGCCCGCGGGCTCCACAATTCGGAAGAGTGCCAAGGTCAAAGAACTTTTACCGGCGCCGGTTCGTCCAACGATTCCAATCTGCTCAAAGAAGCCACGAATTAAATTAAAATCACCTAAAACAAACGCCAACAAGCTTCTATCAGTAGCAGTTTTTAGTCTCTCATTCAGAAAATACGTTAGTGACCTTTTCGCCGGCACTAATGTCGGCGTTGATGTCCGTCAGCACCAGTTCCAATTCCGGTCGATAACGTGCTTGGTAGTTGTCGAACACCACTTTCCCTTCGTGTGGCCAGTTCTTCGGGGGGCGTTTATCATGGCGCACCCAATCAGCTTCCTGCGCGATCTCCGTATACTCTTGGACGCGCTCAACAGATACCAGGTAATTCTCCACTTCGCTGGTCATTCGCACTAACCAGTTCAACAGCGATGTCACCGATAACGTGTAACTTAAAATTATCCCGGTGTTCTTCGGTGCAACCCAATTATTGCCGCGGCCAACTACGACGAAGATGGCGGCGAACAACGTGATCAGGTTGCCCATAAAATCCAACATGACCGCCACCCATCTGCGAAACATACGCAACTGTGAAGCCATTTCCTTTTTTTATGGTCGAAGCTTATGTTTAGAGTGCAAGTGACCTTTGCGAATACAAGTTGGCGTAAGCTGCTTTGTTGTTATTATCCACGTGCTCGTCGTTTTCGTGCATAAAACGTTCCGTTTGACGGGTGGCGATGATCATTGTTGTGCCGGCAAGGGATTCTTCTAAATGCGAGAAAATCGGTGATCGCGACGCGTTATCCAGCCGTTTCAGTTGTCGACTGGTGGCAATATAGAAACGTTGGATGAAAAAGTACACGACAGCGAGCGGAACGATAACTGCCGCGAAGTACGGAATGATCACGCAAAGCTGCCGAACACAAAGAAATGTTTTGCTGAACGAGAAGTTGTTTATAAGAGAAAGTACTTACGAAAATAATCGTCGCCAACACACTTATCGCAAAGCTGAGAAAGATCATCAGCGACGACGGCAGCATCATATCGATGGCTTCGATGTCTTTGCTGAACCGGTTGATGACGCGTCCAAGCGGTGTCGTGTCGAAAAATGCCAACGGCGCATGCAGAACTCGCCGGAGCATTCCGCGATGGAGGGAGCCCGAGGCGTATACCTGCCCGACGGCGTACATTGAACACGCGGCCACGTACGCTAATACTGAGAAAAAACACGCATAAAAAATTGGCGAAACTAGTTTTTGAATGAATTGAGAAACACGCGAGCCTGCGCGGTACCTACGCTATACTTGGCGTATGCGTACGCACGCACACATTCTGCATTCGCCTCTCACTCTCTGTACGTATGTGTGCTGCTGCACTGCACTCTCCGCCCAGCGGATCTACCGCGTGCGCACACATTGAGCTATACTTGATCTCTTGTCCCTCTATCGCAGTATCACGGTGTTCATGCGCTCACGTTGGATACGAGCCCAGGCTGCGTATCACATCACGTATGCCTGGCCAGCACGACGTTCATGCCGCCAGCACTTCTTTCTCTGCTGGATCACTCGCTCTAGAACTACCTGCCAGACAATTGACGTGCTGACATTAGCATTGCCAGACATTGGCTGCTTTGTTCTTTTCCCCTCATATCACGCGGTCTTTCTCCCTTTATTTGTCAATAAAGCCTCACTGTGAGCTCCCTGCGCTTGCCTGATACAATGTCATAAAGATTAACTATTGTTCATTTTGGTTTTACCAGCACCGGTGATTTTTGTCGTTTAGCCACTTTACTACATTCACACATGGCGAAGCATTGCCATTAGCGTTTATCACTGTACTCTGTAGCGACTGGCCTTTTTGTACTTACTTGCCGGATACGTTCTTCGAAACACTTCTTACGGTAATTCGTTCATTTTTTCCAAGTTCTCGTAAGTTTTATTGTGTTATCAAGTACTTACAGCTTAGGTAAAAAAAGACGCATAATCCCACCCACAGCATTCCGAACGCATGCAGCGCAGTGCGCTGTACGGCTCAGCTAAAATATCCGGTTGTCGTACAAATGCACTTGCCACATGCGTACGGATATCTGGGTGTGGGCCTGTGCGTCTTTTTTGTCCTAAGCTGTACTATAGTGGGAGATGGACTGGTAACTAGAGATATCCGACCCAATCCGATCCGATCCAAAATTCGGATCGGATAGTCGGATAAAAATCCGAATAGGTTCGGATTCGGATATGGGTCGGATTTCCCAAACATTGTTCCGGGTCGGATTGATTTTAGTGACCCTTAATTTCGCGTCACTACAGTCATTAAAACCATTATCTGGAATGCGGGCAAAATCGAAATATGAATGACAAAATTAACATGAACAGCAAAAGGTTACCTAAAGCGCCACCTATTCCTCCGTAGACTCTCAGCTGATAATCTCTCCACGCGGGATCAGTATATCGCTCCTCAGACTCCGCATTTTCCGACCAATCACCCAACCAGACGTTGGTGTACAAGTTAAGCGCGTTATACGCGGAGAACGCAGCGATCATGGAGAAGAACACCGGGTACGTCATGCAACGCATGTACGACACGAAAATCCTCCACTTCACATTGCCGACTTCCATCTCCTCCTCGACTAACGCTGCATCCGGTTTGACTTGTTTTTCGGGAACCTTTTCCGGTACCGTACTGCTACGTCTCTGTGATATCTTGGAAAAGGTTCGCCGGACTTTGCGGAGTGTCGCGGTGGAACTGGTCTTTGAGCGCGGTTCCACACTTTCGGGTAACGATACGGTATCCGCTTCACCGCCTTCCGCCTTCTCAGGGAGATATGAGCGCAGCAGGGCGGAGAAGGAACCGTTATTGTTCAGCAGGGTTTTGTAGGTTCCCGTTGCGGCAATCCGGCCGTCTTCGATAACTAAAATGTTATCGGCTTGCGGGAGGAAACTGACACCGTGGGTAACGAAAATCCGTGTTTTTCCAGCCAGCAGACCTTTTGGTCCAATGACTTCCTCGAACAATTGCTCACCACTGCAATAAAGCTAATTTAGTTTAACAAGTTCAAAAAATCTACAGATTTCCCAACAGCTTACACATCGGCGTCCACAGCACTGAGTGGATCATCCAGAAAGCACACGTCGGCATCGGCATAAACAGCTCGTGCCAGAGAAATACGCTGTTTCTGCCCACCGCTTAAATTTAGTCCCTTTTCGCCAATCGGCGTCCGATCGCCATTTTGCAGTATTAGCAAATCGGGTTCCAACGCGCAACATTTTACGACGCGGTCATATCGTTCCCTATCCATAGGTTTCCCGAACAGGATATTCTGCTGCACCGTCATGTTCTATAACATAAAAGTTCTGCATCTATTGTTTTGCACAAAAAAAGATTACCAGGCAGTACATTTTGTCGCAGCCAAAACAAACAAGCGTTGTTAGTTTAGAAGGGGAAGTAATGCTGTTGTCAGCTCTCGCTGCCTTTTCTAGCCAGCTTCCCAGTAGTGTAGTATGGTTGCAAATCATTGGAAAGCTAGCTACTTTTGTCCTCAAGTTTTGATATCATGTAACGGACGAGCTAAACGGCCCAATAAATTCAGCCTTTAATTCGGTTGATTTGATTTTTGATAATCACCGTCACGGCTCATTGGAGGCCTTAGGACCTTTTTTAGCATTACTTAGCTAGAAACGATTCGAGTAAAACAAGGTTCTAGCAGCGCTTCGGTATCTAGTTGCGGTGTTCTTTATAAGAGCGATATTTCCCAGTTTACCTGTAGCCATGCTTGTTGATTGACGCAGGAAATCGTGCCCTGAAAAACTTGGACTACAGTAAAGTCGTTTTGCATGAATTGTTCGGAAGACATAAGTACCTTAACAATTACTTCGCCTCGCTTCTTCTCCATCATCCCGAGCATCGCCGACACGAGCGAGGACTTGCCGGCACCCACTTTTCCCACCACCGCCACCAGTTGGCCGGGTGTGACTTGCACGTTAACGCTCTGCAAAGTGCTGGCATCTTTCTGATCCCAGGCGAATTCGCCGTTTTTCACCAGCACAGCTTCACCTACGGTTGGATCGGTTTTGGCTAACAAACGCACATTATCCGGATCGAGTTCTTCTTTCGTCAAAAACGTGGCCATGCGGTCAATGGACACCCTGGCCTAAAACGTAGAAACCTGTCTGCCAGTGGCCGTCTATATTCTGTTGAAGAGGAATACCTGGACAAGTGATGTGATGATCAGCCGAAAATCTGTCAATGGTTGGCGCAGAATATTGAACAGCGACAAACTAACGAAGGCTCTCTGGGTGTCCAAAACGTTGCTTTTGGTCCATGAAGATATACGTGGCAGAAGGTCACCAGTGCCACTAGGAACGGTGACACCGTCCATAAGAAAAAGGTCATGGACGTCAACAAAGATACTTTTTGAATGCTGCGCATCTAGCGATACAAAGTCTCTTGTAACAGTACGTCTTCAATTAACCATACAAGTTACGCTTACTTCGTTTTCTCGGATGTCCAAAATTTGCTTCTCAAAACTGCAGCGAGTAAAATGTTGCCATAATTCGAATCGTAGCTTGCAGTGATGACGAAAATGTAAAGTTGCTGTGCTTATTTTTCCGTCAACTGACTGGCACAACGTTTTTGATTGATGTGTCGTCATATGTACGCCTTATGACCTTTGGCCTACCTATCTTCCCATGCGTACAGCTTCAGCACTTTAATCCCTTTCAGCGCTTCATTCGTCAGCTTCATGCGCTTATCCTTTTCTTTCATTTGCATTACCTGTTCAATCCCATAGTGTCAAACGAGCTCAAAATCGCTTCTTCCTACAAACCGTATGATAGTTTTACCTGAAACTTTCGAGCAGCAATAGCGGTAACGGTATTGATGGGGACCAGCAGAATCATGAAACCCAGTCCGGCGAAGATGGACACACCCAGTTGTTGATAAAGAAAGTACAAGCAAATGCCCACTTGTAGCGGAGACGCCCACAGTGAATGTAACGAATGCGCCAGATCGATGAACTTTTGGGTGTCCACCGCCATCAAATTGATAATTTCTCCGATGGTGCTGCTGTGTTTGACGGCACTGGTAATTCGCAATGCCTGTAAAAGGCAGAGGTCTGCATGAAGTTCCGCTGCGATAACGTAATACGAAGCTGACGAAAACGGCTTTTGACATCATTATGTATCTGTAGGTACCTTTCGGTAAATGACTGCTGTGAATCCAGCCTGCAACAAAAACGGTTGTACAGGTGCAAAGCAGACAATTTTAGAATTAACCTTTAGATTGGTATTTTAATGTTACGTGGTTAGACTTGCTTTCGATCTTGTGCCCATCTTGAGCACATACATCATGAAATTGCTAATTAATGCGGACTGCGTGAACGTCGCTGCAAACAAAGCCACAGCGTAGATGTAGCCTTTCCAAGCTGGCTCACTCCTATCCGCCGCAAAGGCTATTAGCAACCTAAGAAGAGATTAATTTACCGTTCTAACATGGATAATATGGTTACTAACTGTGGCTTTGAAATGTTTTAAACTTACTGCAGCAGTTTTGGCGGAAGAAATCCAATAAGATCAATAGTCAGTTTGAGCAATCCGCTGAGTATCATACCCACCCAGACCGTTTTGAACCATACTTTAGCGAGGGATGGGGTGGTGGGCTTTTTCTCGTTGCTCGTCAAATTCCTGAGAGTTATGATTACAAATAATAAGTAAATCTGTCTAGTTATTATAAATAATTTAAAATAATTATTAAAACTATAATTGTTGGATGTCTCACTTTTTTCGATGCTTTTCCAATTCTTCGCTCCAGTACTTTTCAAGAGTATGTGCCAAGGGCGTAACTTGATCTTCACATCGCAAATCCCACAGATCTTGGAATTCCAGCGGTTTCCGGTAGCCACGAATAGTCACTCTGGAAGAACAACACAAAAAATTTTTTTCAACAAAATGCGTCAACTTCTTCCAAATAACTGCAGCGGATCAAGCCTGAAGCGACTTACGATGTAAACCAGGCATATATATAGCGGATTGGAAAGGCTGCTGAAATCTCTGGCGATGGATTCTACATTGACGTTTGACTTAGGTTATGAGCATCAAAAATCGTTTGCACGGTAAATAAAAAACACGATGACTTCTTTTCCACTGACCGTAGAGCCGGCAATGCGCGCATGGAACGTTTGCGCAAGGAAAGCGAAAATTAGCTGGATGCTGATAAGTATCAAGATTACAATATTTAACGGCATTTCTGCTGCTGGCAAATCCTGCAATGTACGGTTTTTTTAATTATTTCCCTCATTTTTCGATGTTATTCTAACATACTAATATAATATTATGTATCACGTACATCTAAAAAAGCAAATTAATTTTCCTATAGTGACATTTTATAGCAAGAACCCAGGAAATCATAAGCAGAAACAAGAAAAAAAGAGGAAAGATTACAACAGCAAAACGGAGATTTACTATGGAAGTGTATTTGATATAAAAAATTCCCTTTCTTCCGAAGTTTCTAGTTAAAAATCCTTTCTTCTGTTTACGGATACTCGTACATTACCAAAGAAACGTATGCGAAGCTTGAGCCATAATAGCGCAACTGATTATTGAAAAATAAGTACTGCAGTTTTACACACGAATACCAAACAAAATTTCAAAGATTAAACCAGCCGAAAGGAGATTTATTATGCAACAGTATTTTAAAAACTGATTAATGTGTATTATAAAAAAATGCTTTCTTCCTAATTTCCCAGTTAAAGCCTTTTCTTGTGCGTACGGATACATTTGAAAATAAACCTATGCGAAATCGAAGCCATTGGCGTAACCGATTATTGATTACTAAGTACTGCAACGGTTATTGTGGTGATTTACCTGTGTATAGTATCGTCTGACAATACCGCGTAAGCGAATGATGCGTCCCAGGAGGGTGAGTAACCAGAAGATGAATAATATGGCCGATGATGAGCGAGCATTTCGCCGGTCGGTGTAGACGAAGAATGCCGCTAACAGCTGCAAAATAACAACAAACCTGTTGTAACCATAGCCGGCAAAGTAGCAAGCAGTTTTTATATTCAGATCCGCTCATATTTCATAATAAACACGGCCTTAGTATGTGAACGTCGCATCCTTTGGCTTCGGTTTTCAACGGTTTCCTGTGAGTCATCGCTGACCGTTGTGCACCCGCGTTTACCGCATAATAAAACTGAAGCGGCGCTTTTAATGAAAAATAATTGTATGTAATCCAAAATGCCTCAGTTATCCGATTTAATTATCAATCAATTTACATTGCAAATCTAGAGTAACCGTTTTAGCCAGAACAATCTTTTCAGGCATTTTATTCTTGTGTTTAAATCATTTATAAAATTTTATTCCTTTGCGTTAAGAAAATATCAATTCAGCAGTTATGAGAAAATAGTCTGGTGACGTACGAAGGTGCTTCCTTGGATAAGTGCAGCAAAAAACGCTGCATTTCCAACGGATCCGTAATCCGTTGCCCAAATGCTGGCTGTAATTCCATAATCTGCGGCGCATATTCCAGACAATGCCAAGCAAAAAGCCTGAAAATTAAGTAACAAATACACTATGCACTATGCACAAATTGCACTAATGCACGCAAGCTTTTTTTAAATAATTCACGTAAAAATTCTTGAAAGCTTATTATTTTGCTTTGTGTACGTACCACTTTGGCAATGGGCAGCCATGTCCACCGCTTCTCTTTCCACCGACTACGCAGAATACGGAAGGCTTGAAAGGGAAGCGCCGCCCACAGGAAGAACGCCGGCACCCACACCGCCACGGTCGTCTGAAAGCACTGCGTGAAATCGGGATCCGTGGTGTTCCAAGTCAGGGAATAATTCCACAGCGGATCCGCACAGAAACCCCGATAAAACGGACCATCCGCCATTTTTTAAATATAATTTAAATAAATTTATCTAAGAAATTTAGTTTTACTGGCAATACGAACAAACTGTTACGTATTACTGAATGTTTTTTAGACCGCGATATTGTATGATTCTGCTGAATATTTTATGGCTGCGGTATTTCAAGTGCGGTATGCCGTGTTCGTTAACAAAATTGCTGAATTAGCTACCATCTCACGCCGAGCGTGAGTGGTCGGTTGCAGATGATTAAAATAGAATAATTTACTTTCCATGTGAAGTATTTACAATCTGGAAGCAATTTAAATCTTGACACGGCGAAGATTAACTGACGCAGTAGTTCGTATAGTCAACAGTTGACTGATGGGAAAACGCCGTATCGGCACTCGGGAAAACGCCGTATCGCTCTCCCATAAAGAAGGAAGGCCTGCGTTAAGTGAGGACCAGCATTTGGCGATGATTTCATCGCCTGTACGGCCCAAATACCACATGCTGCATCGATCGACTGTCTGCTAGCTGCAACACCTGCAGAAACCGGTTTATCGATGTTGTATGTATACTGTTATAGTACCTGATTAATTGTTTTGTATGGATTGGTTATGGATGACTGCCATTCAAAATGTGCCGGTGATGTGAAAATGTTTAGTAAAGCATAAAGCGAGACTTGCCAGGAATCCTGGGTCGCGTTTACTGTTTTAATTACCATTTTAATACAAATAACTGCCGCGGGCACAACGCAAAGTGCTTTGTGCAGATTGCCCAAATCCGTCAACGTATTTCCGGTTGCAGAAGGGAAAGCCAACGGCGCAAAAGCAGTTTATCAAAGTAACAACAGCTGTTGTTTTACGCCTACGGTATTCCGCAGTCGTATAAATTAATAGACAATAAAATAATTGTACGGTATGTATGATCTACGCATGATACCACCGTCGATCCATTTTTTTACTAAGTAGGGCACATAGGCATCCTCCAAATTCAGAAAATTTTCATATACTATTATTACATATTATTATTATATATTATGATTATATATCATTATTATATAAATTTTTGTTATATATTAATATTATATACATTATTATTATGAATATTATTATTATAATATATCATTGTATCATTATCTTCATAAAATGATATTATTACATATAGCATCGTTATATGTATTATTATTTTTATATGCTGTTATACATTTCTGTATCTATTATTGTATGTTATTAGATAAGGTTATTAGATAAGGTCATGTTATTAGACAAGGATTAGATTTTGTTCAAAATGGACCATCTTACGGAAATTTCTGGCTTCGCTTCGGTCTTTTAGTGCTAGCCTGCAGCGGTGCACTTCCCTAGTTATATTTCATTATATGCCTGCGCCCTGATGGCGTCACATTGGTCCCATGGTACTACCATGGGAGCGAGGCAGAATGTTAACGTGCAAGGTTTGACCAAGCAAAACATTTTTCTACCGTTTCCTCAACCGTTTTTAACGAACTTAAGTTTCCCAAAAACACCACACTGGTGTTAGAACGGTTAATAAGGAAGGGCACAAAAGTTGCACTGCGAGTTGGCATCGCAATCCGGATGCGCGACAGCCAACTGATCGTTCAGCAAATCAACGGATCCGGCAGGCACGGACCTTAGGGTCAATCGGACACGTTGCTGTTTTAATACCTGTGACACGGTGCTGGGAGTGGTCAAATACGGTGGTAAGATATATATGCTACACACAGTGAGATTAGTTTAAAGAATTAGAAAACCATCTTGTGCTTAATGATTACGATTTGAGACGCCGCATTTTGAATTTCAGGTATCGTGTCCTGTGGCGCTTGTTATTCATCTCCAGAATGTTCCATACACGAGACCATCTTGTATTCCTCTTTGTCGTTGGATGTCCATGGTCATCCAACACCCTGATTTGCGCGTTATCAAGTAAGAAGACAGTTTTCGGGATTAACACAATGTATGATATTATGTCTACAACCAAAGTCAGCATCTATAAATTCATGCTGTCTTTTGCAGTTATTGCTGATCAGCGCGCCCTGCCACCCTTCGGCGCCCTGGAGTTGCAAGCGCCGTTCCCGGTAACCGTTCGCGTCGATCCTGTTGGCCAAGAACGGATTATCATCACCGCGCCGCCTGAACAAGCGTCCCACATACGGCGGATCCGAACGTTCGTTAACGGTGATCAGCTGGTCATTGTATCCGGTTATGAAATGCAATGTTTCGAGGCCGGCCCTACACATGGACCAGTGACAATCACCGTTAACAAAGCGTCCGTTACCAGCATTACTGCTAGTTCCACAGGTCTGGGATCAGTGATTTGGTGAGTGCAAGTTTGCCATGAACATTTTTTGGAATGACCTGAGTCTACGGTATGTTGCTGTACATGTCGCACAATATTTCGACTTTCTCAACAAAATGGTCACTTTTGCTGTACATTTTTAAAATGGAGAAATTTTCTAATAACGCAAACGTATCCAGTTTCCTAATTTCAAAAAGTAATTGTTTTGCATACGAGTTTTGCATAGTAGTTCTCATTTCGCTTAGACCAGAACCGCAGGTGTTAATCTCACGCAGGAGACAACAAATACCTGTTAAAAACTCTGAGAAATTTGTATATTTTATACTTTGCACACTTACCGGATATAATTATGTAAAATTGATATGCAAAGAGAGAACCATGCAAAACAAACTTAATAGTTTTCGAAATTGCTGTACCACCAGGAAATCGGTACATGTGAAAGGTCAAGTGTTAATATACGCATTGGGCAAATGATCGGTTGTTCTGAAAAATCGTACAGTATCCGTACATTCGCAGCATTCCAGTTTCGTTTTCTTCCAATTACTCGTGCAGTTAACGGGTTTTATTACATGTCAGTCAATACGTAATGAGGCAAAATCAGTGGCTTGATTAATGGATTTAAACCTGGTTTCCATACTACATGTATTTTTGAGCCCGGTAAAACGTATACAAGACGTATGAGACATTTGCAGTCACAATCAGCCGCATCCTTTGCCGGACGTCCGCATTCACGTGACCACCCGGCACATCCGCGCCATCAGCATACCGAGCTACGGATCCGTGACTGTCGAGCCGAGCTCTCCGGTCAGTACCCCCGACCTACAGCTGTCCGTCTCGGGGGCCGGCTCTATCACAATCCCCACCGCTTTCGCTAATGGTATCCAGGTGGCTCTCTCGGGCGCTGGGAGCATCCGTCTGCCGGCTGTGCAAGCGGATTTCGTGGGCACCAGCTTGTCGGGAACCGGACGAATTATCCTGGCCGGACAGACCCGGCAACTGAATGTCGACCTCTCGGGCGTCGGTCAGCTGGATGCCGGCAACCTCCTGGCGGGGAACGGCTACGTCAGTGCATCCGGAATTGGTAGAGCCATCATCAACGCCCTGTATAGTCTTAGTGGGAGCGTTAGCGGTATGGGAAGTGTGGGATATAAAGGTCATCCCCGGGTCGATATTTCTAACAGTGGGTTCGGTCGAGTGTACCAGATTTCATAGAAAAGTGGTGCGTGTGCTACTTAAAACAAATTTTGGAATTTGGGCATGTGAAACAGGAAACACGAATTGCGTGATAATTTTGTACCGTTTTTTTGTACCGTTCCTTTAATACTTTATGTTGATTGTTAGTCAATATTTATCTTTGTCACCTGGCTCGATTATTCACATTCTTATTCCCCTGTGCGGCCGGAAAAGCACTTTCTTGTGGATTATAACTAATACAACGCTGTACGCTAACATATGCCCACCGAGATATAGATAGATCGCTTGTTGCTCTTGAAACAATATATATTATTATGATCTCCAGTCAATGTTTTGAGTCTTTTGACGTGTTAAATAATTGCCGGGACAGCCTCTTTGAGCTATAATCAATCATCTATGTCGACCGTTTCCAGATATACGTAGTAAATAAGTCCGATTGGAGGCTGGTTCTCTGCTTTTCCAGTGTGTATATGAGGAACCGAAACGCACTCACTGTAAATTCGCTACTGGCTGTTCGCCTTTCATTCACCGTACAACATACTATAGCCGTACAAAAGAGATCTGTAGTGAAGATGTACATCTCATTGGTGCTAGTTCAACCGGAAACATCTGAATGTGCACTTGTACGAGATAACCAGTTCTAACGTGGATTTTCTAGACTTCTGAGATTGTCTGAATGTTCTGAAATCATTCTTGCTCTTGCCCTTGCCCTTGCTCTTCCCCAATGACTTTTCAGCTGATTAAAAATGTTTGTACACTTTGACAATCGCGCCGGTATCGGTTAACCTGTTCGCAATTGCATAACTGATTTTAGGGTAATTCGCTAACTCGCAACATCACCGACGGTCACCGACGAACCATCAAACCTCGTTTTATCGTGGTACGGGTGGATTAACCCACTCCACTAGTGGCAGCTTAGAAGTTGCCGTTGCAATACTATATTTCCGTTAAACCCTTTACGCTCTTTCAAATCTCAGTTTTATACTTGCATGGTTTTAAAAGCACTGTACCCCGAAATTACTCGTACATCTTTTACACTCGGTATATCATGCAGTTCGATGCCGCAAGACACTGGATTCATTTGCTTTAATACTGCACTCGTGCAGCTTTTCTGGCTGGGCTCTGTGCATGCCGCTTTTACTGCAGTCACCACATTAATACATGTACTCGTACGGTTAAACAAGAATGTTAACTCAAACGGATTTCATTTTTCTTTAAGGGGATGTCGAAGCGACTCAGTTTTTTGCTGCGTACTGGAGGAAGTTTCCTGGTATGTATAGTCTAAACAGTGTTAGTTTTTTTATTAACAAAGAACACGAACATTGTATAGCGTGATGGCACTGCAACAGGATGCAACTGTTCATATACCGAGCAGAGACAACCGATCTGACAGCCCGCTGACACTAGGCCGGTCAATCGTTCATTTCACTTGCAAGAAAGACTTGGTGTTCAAATCGATCAAACAGTGCGGTCAGATATCTGCCCAGCTAAGTTGATTAAATTCTTCTAAATATAAATTACGAAGTAACGCTATATTCAAGAATATCGAATCGTTTAGCACTTATTATCTGGCTCTAAAATGCTCAATACAAGAAGCCGTGCTGCACTATTTTTTGCAGTTGGATGTTCATGGATAGCCGGCACATCGGCTGTACTACTCGTAATACCGCAGTCAAGTAAGTGAAGAAGATCCCAGTTTCCTTGATCAACATAAAGCATGCACTTCTTCAGTGCAACCGGCACTCATGCAGGATACGTACTAATTAATTCTGTAAATTAAATTATTACTTAAATTATTTATAGGTACTGCTGACCAGCGAGCACTTCCGCCCTTCAGCGCCCTGGAGTTGTGGGCGCCGTTTCCGGTAACTATGCGCGTAGATCCTGAGGGCCGGGAGCGAATCGTCATCACCGCGCCGCCCGAGAACGCGTCCTATGTGCAAGGGATTCGTGCAGTGGTTACCGGGGATCAGCTGGTTATCGGCGATGATTATTGGTCGTCATGCCAAGGGGTCAACAATACAAAAAAACCAGTGGAGACAAGATACGATTTTGACGAGATGCCCAGGCCCATTCGAACCATCGCTTATGGTTCGAGATCAGCGCCCTGGTGAGCTTAATTAACGTAATTTTGGAATAATGACGGGCTACAAGTAGGTATACAAGTTTAAAGAATTTAAACTTCAGCAGTAGTGCATTTCGTGTTATTATTGCTTGTGTGTCAGCGATTTGGCTTGGTGTTTTAGTTGCGTATTGGATTCGATTATGATTCGATAAGGTTTTTCCAATTTAGAATTAGAATCCAATTTAGAATTTTTCAGTTCCAGTTCAGAATTAATTTTAATTTTTCCGTTTAAGGACCGATTGAGAAACTACGGTATACTTGGGTCTTTTTTATTAATCGAACACGTTAACCGGTATAGTTTTACGTACTGTACTCTCGGCTCATGGTATCCGGATTTTTTACAGTGCATCGGTCGCACGCTGTCTGCATTTTCATAGCATTCACTGAATATGAATTACGTGAACGCGAAGTAGTTAACACGGGCGGCTGACTCCGACAGCCGCGAAAGTAAGAACTCGCGCTCCGGCTTTAAAAAATCTGGACATCGTGAGCCGAGACTACTGATAGTACAGTATGTTATTGTACTGTTTTACTGTCGGTAACCGACACCTTGCGTGTTCAAATTTCCTAAAAGTATATTTTCCCAGTAAAGTTCATTTTAAAAGTGCGAAACTTTTGAAATTTAGAAGTCAATCTTTCAACGTTTTCAGTCCTCCTGCCCGTCTCCCGGACATCCACATTCACCTAACCACACGAAACCTCCGCGCCATCAGCATCCCGCACTACGGATCCGTCACCGTCGAGCCCGCCTCCCCGGTCACCACACCCGTCCTGCAGCTGGCCATCTCCGGAGCGGGCTCCATCACCATCCCCGTCGCATCCGCTAACAGAATCCAGGTACTTCTTTCCGGCGCCGGGAGCATTCGTCTACCGGCTCTGCAAGCGGTTTACGTGCGCGCCAGCTTATCCGGCACCGGGCGGATCTTCCTGGCGGAACGAACGCGGTCCCTCACGCTTGACCTGGCCGGTGTGGGTCAGCTGGATGCCGAACAATTACTCGCGCAGGACGGCTTTGTCAGCGCCTCTGGGAGGGGTCAGGTGACGCTTAACGCCCTCTACCATCTGGCTGGGAGTAGTGGGGGTTTTACCAGCGTAGGCTACAAAGGTCATCCTCGCACTGATTTTTCCACTGTGGGGTTCGGTCGATGGTACAAGATAGCATAAGAGTGGGGCGCGTTATTTGTTAGGAAACATTGTGCAGTGTGCACATCAAACAGAAAATGTACGTATGTTCAGAGTTTTGTACTGCTCTGAAAAGACCATCGTTGTTCTGTGCATTGCTACGCGGCTCGTCAAACCGTTTCTATGCAATGCACGATGAATGAGCAAACTGATTTTCCACAAACACAAAACCAGTGGTACGCAGAAATACCTTCTAATAAAATTAATTACAGTCGAACTATGCAGATATAAGTGGAATACACTGCTTTGCAGAGTCAAATGCACCAGCGCAAATACCAAAAGATGATGAATTAGAAGGGTTTTTCGTCATTTGAAAAACATGTTAAAGAATATCACTGGATACCCGATTGTTAAAAAGGATGTACATTGTCTTTACAGGACCCAGTGTGTAGCGTATACGACAGTACGAGTTTGTGCGCACTGTCACATGAATTATTTACGTGTTTCTTGAAATCATGCGTGGCGACTTACGAGTACATATTCGACTGTCTGCATATCTGCTAAAATTTTTATTTATTGCACTTCTGACAGTTTTGTCTGCCACTGGTGAAACAACGCAGTGATTTTCGGATTTTTTTGTGAATTTTTTTTTAATGTGGGAGGCCCGTTTAATGAAAGACCAGTGCAGGAGGTAAAAAGTGTAGATAAAAAACAGTAGAAAATCACAAACTTTCGTCTGTATCACAGAGTCTGAAAGAGAGTCATACCGCTTTTGCAGTTCTTCTTAAATTAAACCCGCATTTTTCGCTAAAGAATAAAACAGGGAATTTGAATCTTTTAACAGCTCGGTCGGTGAGGAGAATTCGACAATTTTTCCGTGATCCATTACCATAATTCTGCAAACATTTAAAATGGGACGTATTTTTCGTAAATTAAGTGCTTATACTATTTTTCGTTAACAGTTTAGTGAAGGTCATACCTTGTGCTATCCATGACAGTGTTCAAACGATGGGCTATCGTCAGCACCGTGCAAGCGGCAAACTTCTCGCGAATGGTTCTCTGTATTAGCTCATCTGTAATTAATTTAATTTTAACTAATTAATTAAGTTCGGTTAACGTTACCGTTGACAGTTAATTCGTAAGAACTTCTCTACTAACCGGTGTGTAAATCAATCGCTGCCGTCGCTTCATCCAGAATCAGAATTTTTGTCTTTTTCAATAACGCACGGGCTAAGCAGAGTAGCTGTCGTTGGCCCACACTAAATACAGAAAGAAACAGTGTTGCTTAAAAAATAATAATTTTGATCTATGAACATGTATTTTTGTCAAAACGTTATAATAACTGACTGTTTTACTGACATAAAAAGTCTGCTACCTTAAATTCTCGCCCCCTTCTGCGACCATGTGCAGAAGGCCATCCGGCAGTGTCGAGACGAAGGTCTTGAGATGCGAGTCGTCCAGCACTTGCCATACTGCGTCATCGGTATACTGATCAAACGGGTCCAAATTCATACGCAGCGTTCCACTGAATAACACAGGTTCCTGTCAAAAACACAGTGTTACGCAAATACAGTATCAGCAGTACGAAGTTTGGGTTTAGGTGACAATTTCACCTGTGGAATAATTGTCAAATGCGACCGGACATCGTGAAGTCCGATGCTCATCAGGTCGACGTTATCGATGACGATACGGCCGCCCGCAGGCTCCACGATCCGAAACAGTGCCAACGTCAGGGAGCTCTTACCGGCGCCGGTTCGTCCCACAATCCCAATCTGTAATTTATTAACTAATTATTTTTTTCTTTAAATTTTATTTCTAGATTTTTAATTTTTATTTATTTAGTTTTTATTTTTATCTAAGTAATGTTTTTATGTACAGTATGCACTTTTATGTATGTTCTTTTATTTTTATGTGTTCAATTTGGATTTTACAGATTTATTTTTAATTTGCTTTTTTTATATTTTTTAATTTATTTATTTGCTTGTTTTCTTAATAATAGTGAATTTGGTAGCGAATTAAGGGTCACTTATGTCCTAAAATTGGGGAACGCTTAGCACATTCGCCTAAGTTTCTTCCTTAGGACACACTGACCTTTTCGCCGGCGTGGATTTCTGCGTTAACGCCGTTCAGCACCAGATCCAGTTCTGTTCGATAACGCGTCTGATAATTGCTAAACTCGATTTTTCCTTCTAAGGGCCAATTCTTTGGAGGGCGTTTCTCCGGCCGCACCCATTCGGCTTCTTGCGCTATTTCCGTGTACTCCTGGATGCGCTCCACCGACACCAAATGGTTCTCCATCTGGCTGGTTAACCGCACCAACCAGTTGAGCATCGATGTGACGGAAAGTGTATAGTTGAGAATCAAACCGGTTTCCTTCGGTTTAATCCAACCGCCTTCGCGTCCCAGTACCACGAAGATGGCGGCAAACAGTGTAATCAAATTTCCCATGAGTTCCAGCAGAACTGCCACCCACCTAAACGGATACCGTTTAATAAAAATTCAGTGCAATTTGTTCCGCTGTAACACAATACTTCAACAAAGAAACTCTTCATTAAAAAAGGAAAATTATGAGGCCAGATTTTCTTAGATTTAACGCTGACGGAAGTTTTGAAAGTAAAATCGGTTTCTCCTGTGGGCATATCTCGGAATACCGGGGTGAGTGTTGGTAACAACTTAAATTTAACCGTCCATTTAGAGAAAAGGAACACTTCTGGCGGCTTTAAAGTGCGTACCATTCTCCACTGTCAAATTAGAAAACGCAAGATCCCTTTTCGCGTTGACAGTACAGACAGCATCTGGTAACAATAATTTAGAATCCGAGGGAAATTGTACGTTTTCTATTACGCCCTACCGGATGGACTTTTTCATGCCTTGACGTCTGTACATTCGGCAGCTACCTTATAAACTGCCTAAATTTTTCATCGCTTATCTAATCATAAGAAGAACAAGATATGTGAAGAAGAAAATGAACGTAGTATACTGGCGATGCCACGGCCTCCCTTCATGGCACCGTGCACTCGTGAAACAAATCGACCAATTCGACAGATTACAAAAAATTATCGGGAATTTTTACAGAATTTATTTATTTACTACATTTATTGAATTACTACACAAAATTTACGCTTTTTTAAATTAAAGAGATTTAACTACATGTATAAATAACAGAATTCCCTGAAATAATATAGAAGAAGCACAATTATAATAGGCTTGACAAATGACAATTCACTAATCTATAAATCAGCCTAAAATAAAATGTCGCAGAAATAGCAGCATTGCATTGTTGCATAAACATACTCATATTAATGCTCACAATACATAAATATATTTATATTAATAGAGCACACATGATTTATGCAATTGCTTTTGGAAGTGGTTCAACTGATGACAGAATTATATCTATTTACAAAATTAAATCGAATCACATATCTATCTGTTAGATCTGTTTACAGATCTATCTGTGCGATGCAAAGGACTACAGGATCTATCTGTGCGATGCACAGGAGCTTATTTATGCACTTCGTTTGGCTAGTGGCTAAATCACTATACATACCTAGTTGAGAACTGATTAGCATACGCCGCTTTGTTATTACAGTCGATCCGCTCATCATTCTCCCGGATGAAGCGCTCCGTCTGCCGTGTGGCGATGATGGTCGCCGTGCCGGTAATGGACTCCTGGAAATGGGAGAAAATCGGAGATCGTGAAGTGGACTCCAGTCGTTTCAGCTGCCGGCTAGTCGCCACATAGAACCGCTGAATGAAGAAATAGCAGATGGCTAACGGTACGGCAGCCACCGCGAAGTACGGGATGTACACACAAATCTACAAAAGCATTCCATTTACGCCAAGGTCATCAATTTAGTACACCTTACTTACGAAAATGATGGTCACTACAACGCCAAGGCAATCCTCGATGAAGAAATTCAACGTCATCGGCAGCGAGAGATCGACCGCTTCCATGTCTTTGCTGAACCGGTTGATGATGCGTCCGATGGGTGTCGTATCGAAGAACGCCATCGGGGCGTGGAGAATGCGCAGCAGCATCCCACGATGCAAGGTTCGGGCAGCACGGACATGACCGACGGCGTTGGCGAGGCAGGCACCCATATAGGTCAATCCTATCGGAAAATTGGCGAAAAGCGTCAAATTCAGAGTTATAACCACCATTCGGTTCGCTTCAATAATATTACGAGATCCGGCGTCCTCGCGACACAACTTTTTAAGAAGCCAATTTTTTAGTATAGCGAATCGATATTCAATTCTAATCACTACTATAAAACGCGTCCAATCGGCTGTGTTTGACCAAGCGAGTGAAGCAAATTTTCTGCTGTAAATTCTAACGGTTTTCCGTTACTCCGCCCGCGAGAAGCAGCTGCCTAAGCGAGCGAAGCAGGAGCGAATGTTCCTTACTCGCTTCGCTAGGCCGGCTGACTGTTTGACGAAGTTTTGTAAGGGAAAGTTATTTAGGTATTGTGATTCTAATACCTAGTGCAATCCCGAGGCCGCCATATACACCCAACCGATAATCCCGCCACGTCGTATCGTTCCGTCGCTCGGGAAACTCCCCGTCCTCCGACCAATCCCCCAACCACACACTGCTGTACACATCCAGCGCCCGGTACACGACGAACAGCCCCACCATGGACCAGAACATCGGGTAGGTCATGTTCTTGATATGCGATGACAGTATACTCCACTTCACATTGCCGGTTTCCATCTTCTCTTCATCCGCGTCCGTCTCAATCTCCACTTCGGGCTTGTCTTTTTCTTTAGTCGCTTTCTCTGTCACCAAGCTATTTCGCTTTTGTGAGACCTTGGAAAAGGTTCGACGGACTTTTTCAACGCTGCGATTGATCCATTACGCGAAAGGTTTTCGGTTGATTCGGTTAACGAAATTGTTTCGACTTCATCGTCATCCGCCAGTTCTGATAGATATGTGCGTAGTAGAGTGGCGAAGGAACCGTTGTTGCTTAAGAGCGTTTTGTACGTGCCGGATTCGGTGATCTGGCCGTCTTCCAGAACCAGAATGTTGTCCACTTGCGGGAGGAAGCTGACGCCGTGGGTTACCAGGATTCGCGTTTTGCCGGCAAGGAGACCTTTTGGTCCGATGACTTCCTCAAACAATTGTCGACCTCTGCAAGAATTATTCTCAGAAAGCGTTAAAAAACGTGAAAAAGTTCGCGTCGGTTTACACGTGAGCATCCACGGCACTGAGCGGATCATCCAGAAAATACACATCAGCGTCGGAATAAACGGCTCGTGCCAGCGCAATACGCTGTTTCTGTCCACCGCTCAGATTCACGCCTTTCTCGCCGATCTGGGTTTGGTCACCGTTTTGCAGAATTTGTAGATCCGGTTCCAGAGCGCAGCAATGAAGAATGCGCTTATATCGTTCCGGGTCCATGGGTTTCCCGAAGAGGATGTTCTGCTCTACCGTCATATTCTACACCCATAATATTGTGTATTTATATAGCATTTTAGAAGACTTAATGTTTTTCGCTTTAGAAACGCGGCGCGAATGTTTTTTGCTTCGGAAACGTTTACATTTGTAAACAGTAAACACCCACCACACAGGTCTCCCCGATTTGTTCACATAAAAAACATGTTTTACAACTGCACTGTGCGAACCGGGAATTTCAAAATTCTTAGTGTAGCAATTATGTGATAATAGCGCTAAGTGCATCTTATACACAATCATGCACGGTAACGGAAATATTTCTAGTGCAACAGCATTCAAAGTTGCAAAACTTAGTTACCTGAATCCACGCTTGCTGGCTGACGTAAGCAACTGTTCCCTGAAACAATTAACCGTTCGTTTTAACGAACCCTCAGTTTCAGCGATTAGAACGGTTTACTGACCTTTAACGTTACTTGACCATGTATCTTGTCCATCATACCGAACATGGCGGACATCAACGATGATTTCCCGGTACCGACTTTCCCGACAACAGCCACTAACTGCCCGCTTCCGATCTTCACGTTAATGTCTCTCAAAGTGCTGTCTTCCGATCGGTCCCAAGCGAATTCTCCGTTTGTAACGCTAACAGCGTCATCCGTTATTGCACTGGTTTTCTCTAACAGCTTCACGTTTTTGGGATCCAGTTCCTCGCTTGTGAAGAATTTAGCCAAGCGTTGGATGGAGACGCGTGCCTAAGTATAGCGCCATAATTTCAAGAAAAAGCGTAAAATAAAATATTTTTTGGGAGAATGTGATTTACTTGAACCACATTGGTGATGGTAACTGGATAATCCGTTAACGGTATCCGTAGAATGTTGAACAGCGACAGACTGACGAAGGCTTTGCGTGTATCGAGAACGTTACTCGTATCGATGAAGATGTATGTCGCAAAGGTCACCAGTGCGACGAAGAAGGGTGAGACCATGAACACGAGGAATGTTATGGAATTTAGGAAGGAAGCATTCCGGATGCTTTTCATCTGCAAAACATTAACAGTTTTTGATTCCGTTTAAAGTTTTGCCAAGGGGTTGTTTTTCTTACTTCGGCCTTGCGAATTTCGGATATTTGCTTCTCAAAACTAGAAAACAAACAAAAAATATCCGTGCGAATAGTTGTGAGCAAACAAAAAGTTTATGACTTATTAAATTATTTTAAGGGTTTTATCCCAAATTTAAAATTACCTTTCTTCCCACGCGTATAATTTGAGGACCTTTATCCCGTTAAGCACTTCATTTGTCAGCTTAATACGGTTATCCTTTTCCTCCATTTGTCTTTCCTATAATTTGCAGAGAACAGCAACAGTTTGAAAACTGTATGAAATAAATAAGCTGTTTTAAAAAAACAGTTTAAGTCGTAATCGTACTTGATATGTGCCGGCAGCTCCTGCCGAGACGATATTGACGGGGATCAGCACTAGCATAAATCCCAGTCCGGCAAAGATGGACGGACCCAACTGCTGGTAGAGAAAGTACAGCGTAATGGCCACCTGCACCGGCGCTGTCCACAGCGAATGGATGGATCCAGCCAGTTCCAGGAATTTCTGACTGTCCACCGCCATCAGGTTGACGATTTCCCCGACGGTGCTGCTACGCTTGGCAGCACTCGTGATTCGCAGTGCCTGTTTACAAAACAGTCATAAGTTCATTTGAAAAAGCAAAACCTGCCGGCTTAATTAAACCGGCAGATAAAACCCAGCTAATTGCACCAGCAGATGCAACTCTTTAAGTGCAGAACAGATGCGGTTAAACTGTGGTGAACATATGATGTACATAGGCCACATATGGTACGACAATGCAAAGTAGTTTGTAATTAAAAAGTATGAAATAAGTACAAATAATTTGTGGGTTGTCAACTCACCTTTCGGTAGACAGCTGCCGTGAGTCCAGCCTACAACAATTCGTCATGGTAACCTTTCAAAACTGATAACTAAATATTTATTACAGTCTACACTACACCGCTACAGTACCTTAGACCGCATGCCGATCTTCTGAGTGTACATCAGGAACTGATTGAATATAGTGGCCTGTGAGAAGGCCACCAGGAACAGGGCTACCGCGTAGAGATAGCCTCTCCATTCCGGCTCGCTCATATCGGCAGCAAATACAATCAACAACCTAACAACATCGCGCACGTTTCACCAATTTTCAAGATGTTACTGAAAACTAATGTCTCTTTAACAGACTTAAAACTTACTGAAGAAGCTGCGGCGGAAGGAAACCAATGAGGTCCGTCGTCAGATTGAGCAGACCACTCAAGATCATGGAGCGCCAGAAGGTTCGCAGCCACACTTTCATTAACGAGGGTACCGTCTTGCTGCTTTTGTCAGTGGATGGATTTCTGAAATAACACATGTAAAGTTATAGAACAAAATGGTTTTCAACTCCAAATATCAATTAATAATATAAACTATTATAAATTCAATAAAAAAGACAGGCGATACTGGTAATTTTGAGACATATGTACTTTGAGCTATGCTTCTCCATTTCCGCGTTCCAGTTCTTCTCCAGTCTCTGGGCCATGAGCTCCGTTGATTCATCATGTTGCAGATCAGACAAATCGTCGAATTCGAGCGGTTTTTTATAACCACGTACCGCTAGTCTGTTCATAAATTCTTGTTTTAATAAATTTATTCAGCATTCGATAAGAACTGATTTTGTACTGATGCGCTTACGGCGTAAACCACGTGAAAAATAACCGGTTGACGAATGATGCTGATAATTCCGGCGATGGGTTCTAAAGCGACACCATCATGCACTTTTGAATTTAGAGATACGTCGATGCTTTTCGCATTTATTAGGAACGCTTTCGTAACCAGTAGAGAAAAAAGACATTTGTAAAAAATGCTGGCGAATGAATGCTCTCTCATGCAGAGCTGCTGAAATAACAACAGGCTACGGAAGTCTTTCGTCGGAAGTCCGAAATTACATTTTAAACGCGTTTTATGCCAATTATTTTATGTTTCACGTCTACAGCAAAATTAAACAAAATTTTAATTTTATTTAATTTGCTGCAAAATCTGCTTTAGATTAACATTTACTACTCAAAAAATTTTTTTGTGTAGATCGGTATGGGAATTTTATCAAATTTAAAATAGTTAAAAATACCTTGACACCAGCCGTCCGTGCATCGAATTCTTGCGACAGACAACACAGAATCCACTGGGAAGCCACCAGAATGAGGTTGGCTATACTGAAGCCCCATTCTGTGGGCAATATTTCCTAAAACATCACAGACAATAATTTATTATATTTTCGAACTTACCCGGTGAATTTGTGTATTTTATTACCAACATTTCAATTAACAGCAAATTGAAGCAGAAATTTAAAGAACACGTTTGAGACAGCTGATTTCTAGTTTCTGAACAAGATTTACCTGAACGTACGATCGTCGGACGATACTGCGCAGATCAATAATGCATCCCAACAGCGTCAGAGACCAAAAGACGAATAATACTGCTGACGAGGAACGGGCGCTTCTCCGGTCACTATGAACGAAGAATGCCGCCAACAACTGCGAAAAATCCATGTAACCATCGTTTTCTTTGAATAGCATGGATTATAAAAATAATGTTTTATGCATACTAATTCTGTAAACAACTTCAACTGGTTACAACTTACAAAGGAACATCCTTGGATTAACGCAGCGAAAAACTGGGCACTTCCAACGGCTGTATTGCTCGTGCCGGCAATCCCCGTATGAGCAAAAACACTCACTTCCGCCGCAGAGATCCCAAAAAGCATGGCACAGATGGTCTAGAACCCACTCAGCATGATGAGCATAAGAAAACTCACAAACCTAAGACTTCGATTTAAAACATCACAGAATTCGTACCACTTTGAGAAGAGGAAGCCGTGTCCAGCGATGTTCCTTACAACGGCTATGTACAATACGAAACGCTTGAAAGGGCAGCGCAACCCATAAAACCAGCGCAGGAACCCAGACCACCACGGTCTGCTGGAAGCACTGGGTGAAATCGGGATCCGCTGTGTCCCACGTCAGTGATGTATTCCATAAGGCATCCGCGCAGAAGCCACGGTAGAACGCATCGTGCTCCATACTTTAAGAAAAATTTAGTTGATGATTCTATGCACACACAAGCCAACGATCTCGATGGTGCAATCGATCGAAGCTGCGATGTTTCGATGTTGTCCTCGGTGTGTTGAGTAGGCAGTAATAAAATAAGCAGCATAGCGGTATTTAAAGAATATCCAACTTTTGGCTCGGTAGAATGGAACAATCCGGTGTAAAGGTATGGCAGATAATTTGATACATCGGCTCACAATGTCAACAAAGCGGCGGATTGATGTTGCAGCGATAAGCGTTTATCCAGAAATGACTTCATCGCAGTGTTAACCGGTCAAAGCAACGACGGCAGATGTCTGGCACAGGCAAACGATGCAAAGTTTAGCTGGCTTTGCGCAATCGGATATGGAAGAAACCGGTTTGCCGGCGTTTACCAGCGAGCGAGACTGACATGTGTCTACTGCATGGCGCTCGCTGTAGCGGCGTGCTATCGATTCTTGCACGTTGGTACTCCTGTGTCGAACTCTGACTCATTCTCTGGCCGGTATATCGGTCTCTAGATTCTGAACATGATGTCAGATGTACGGATAAAGTTACCGGCTCCTACTGCAAAGCAGTCATGCCCAGGCAGATCCAGCAAAAAATTAGTATGAGCCGGTTATATAAAAACTGCGGGAAATGGTAAAACGCACCAAATTATTCGATTAATGTGATTTGATAAGACAGGTTGAAGCTGCCTATATTGTGGTGCTTGTTTGTTTGTTTAATCAGCTTAATGTCTACAACAATCAGGACAATCCTGCACGAGGTGTGTATCTTAACGGTCTCGTGTGTGTCTTAATAAGGGTATATAGATAAACTGATGAGCTTATATGGGATATGGTTTTTACTTTGTCAGCGGTCAGGCATCAACGGAAACGGATGCGTGGACACTGCACACTGTGTCGTGTGTCAGCACTTGCTACTTACTCTAAATATAAGCTAATATTTTCCACCAGTTCTGTTTCTCCAATCAATTTTCCCTCTGATTTATTCGTATTTCCATATAATCGCTGAAAACTTTTCAAAGGCACTTAACAATCGACAAAAAGGTACTGTTTTCATGCATTCGCGTTTAGAGCATAACTCAACTGACAATTACCTTTAGTTCAAACACGTTGACGTAAAGTATTGTGGAAACAGCTGACCACGCGCTGCGCAGTAAGCCGCGTACACAGTAATTAAAACATCTCATGCAACAGCAAAACCAAATCCGAAAACTTTCTAAAGTATTTTATTCTGCAGCGCATCAGCCGATTACCCACCCAAATTAGTGCGACAACGACACTAACTAACGTCCTGGTAGGTTATCAATGTCTTTCTTAGTGGTAGACTAATGCGGGCGTATTTCCTGAATGTAGTTCAAGAAATCTCGTAACTTCTTCTGGCATGGATCGTTGGGTGCTCCATAATACGTTAAGTTCGTCTTCACCGAAATTCGAGGATTGGACTCCGAGAGGACGATGTGACCGCGCTGACATACAGCAACAATAGCATCCTGTGATGCATCAAAGTGAACCGACGATCTTTGTGAGTCGATGAGATATTCATGCACACTGATAACGAATTCGCGGCAACGAAGCGATGCGTCGCCGCGAAGGTACACCACGGTGGATTTCGTCGAATTCAGCATCTTCACAGGAAGAATCGCTTTGCCGGCCTGGCAACTGATCCGCAGCGGTGCGTCAACCGGGCACGCAAAATGGTCCGCCATCCACGTTTTTACGGTTATGTTGGGAATTAACAAAGGCGTAACGGCTCCATCGCTCAAAAAATCGTTTCTGACGAACTTCAGGAATCGCACACGAATGCTATGGCAGTCTGGGCTGAGATCCGTGTCCAGAGTAATTTTTAGGGGATTCTGCACTTCCGGATCAGGTCCGAACACGGATATCTGGTTATCGTGACACAAAAGCCTGATTACACTGGACGGGGTGGGCTGAGGTTGTGAGACGTTGCCGAGTTCTAATACATTGTGGTAAAAATCGTGGAAAATCCTATAGCAGCCCATTGTTGTGTCAGCGGTAAAGTGGACGACCAGCGCGTCGGTTTGTTCCACACTGGTGTCGGAAAGGGAGATCGATCCCTGCTGGCACCGGATATCCAAAGGTGGGGCCTGTTTACATGAAGGACCTTGAAGGATTCCAAAAACAAAGGCGTAAAGAATGAATGTCAATACTACTCTATACATTAAGATTTAGCACATTATTTTCTTTCCGTTGGACCTCCGACGCAGGAGACCAGCTGACTAAGCTTTATTAGTGAAGCCCAAAATAATCAACGGACTACGGTTAACCAAGGTGTTTCATTGTCCACTCAGAAAACTGGGGTTTGCGCACATTAGTCGCACTGACTTTCACAGGCGCATTCTTTGTATAAAGTTATGAGCTGATCAACAATATGTGCCGGAATGAGGATATTGTCCTAATCTGTTAAATAGTCGCTTTAAATACACTAAAACCTGCCTTTACATACACTTGAAAATGAATACACCCGGTGACCCGGAAAATACTTAAATGTGCGATCGGCTGAACGTTGGTGTACATATTTCTTTATCAGGTTTTACTGTAGCAGCAATTGCTAACTTACAAGCGGGCATCTGCTGTTCTGACCGCTGCTGACCGTAGTCGTAGAAATTCTGGGAACCGCAGCTGAAAGCTCCCCGTCTGGAGGAAGGCGTCCCCCAGCCACCCGTCCTGACAGTGGTTTTACTTAAAATCATCTGTAGAAAAGGCTGAGTTTCGCAGCAGGAACAATCATCGACAGCACAGAGCATACTGCCCTGAAGGTCAAATGATTCCACCGTTTTCAGGGAGCGTAGGACGTCATCAGGTATAAAGGTCAAATCATTATTTTTCATGTCAAGGTCGGACAGAAACCCAAACTCGAACGGAGCCCCACTCATGTGTATTGTGCGTAGTTTTGGATTTTGTTGGCCGAGTTCTAAACTTTTCTGAAAGCACGATATTCATTTTCAGTGTATGCACAGTATGCGACTGCTGAAAAACAAACGACCGGGTATGCTTACCACCCAATATGACAGCGGTTCAAAAGCGCGCCAGTTAAGTTCTTCAAGAGCGTTCCCTGCCAGGTTCAGAACATTATCGAACATTTCTGCTCTGGATGCGGGATATCCCTGAAATTCTTGAAACGCATCGATCGATATATCATAAATGTCGTTCTCCGACAAATCTAGCTGCTTTAGTTCCGGGAAACCATGGAGAAAATCAGCATCTAAATGCCCGATCTTGGAGTGTCCGATCCGCAGTGTCTCGATGCGATACTGCACAAACCGCAAAAACTGCTTGAAGGGTGGCCGCCGACCGCCTTCTCCAATAAAGTTGTGTAAGTGCACGTGTCTTAAATGTCCTCTATCGGGAATGCTTGTGTGGTCCTTTCGCAGCAGATTGCAGTACACCAGAAGGGAACGGTTAATGGGCCGCTGATCAGGAAGTTCTTGACGTGAACCAAGGACTAAGCGCATGGTCGTAGAGGGAATTTTATTTACATCATACGAACGCGGGAAGTCAATGGGCGTGGTTGAAGCACAAAGGCAAGAAAAATCATTTGGGGTTTCCCTGCAAACTTCGCCGGTAATTTCAGGAACCACGACAAAACAAAGGAACAGAAACAAGCCGACAAAGTTGGAAGCAGATGAAAGCATTTTGACGTTTCTATGATGGTACATACTACATATCACTCCTAGTAAACTGCTGGTAGTAGACAGTGCTGCTGCTGCCACAAAAAAATGGCAGTGGTACATGAAATCGAAAAAGGCAGCTGCTAGTTTATTTACCGGTATCGTACCTACTGTTGAATGTAAAGAACCATTCAGTTCAACACGATTGGTACTGCTTGCATTTAAGAGTGGCATGCTTGCTAGTTCAAGTAAATTCCACTGAAAGTGATGTCGACAAGGATTTTATCTGTTTATCGCACATCAAAACAGGGCGATAATAATCGCGTTTCATTGTTGTTCATGTCGCGGTATTTTTGGGAGTTTTCAGTGTCAGTAACGTATTTTAAACCAGCTTGATATGCAAATCTATTCGGTTATAAATGCTTTATGTTACGTATAATGATCAAATAATAATAATAATAATAATCAAATATTTAATGTTAATTGCTAATAGCCTGGTGGTAGTACGTCTGGCTTTAAGATTGAAAGTTTTTAATTGGGTTATTCACATTAACATACTGTAGGTTAAAAGCAAATTACGCAGTTCATCATTTCAACACATAATACACTTCGTCCAGTCTCTTACCGATACAAAACGTTTCCTGAACACAAGCAGCGTTACCTCGCATTAAAGCAACACTGATTCTCTGCTTCAGAAACTGAGTGGACCGTTTCTCCTGTGTCCTCTCAAAAAGCATCTTACCGAGTGTAGACATCTTACATTTCGATTCTTTACCCATAGTATCGCCAAGTTAGGGTGTTTTGGTTTCATCAGTATGTTTCAACAGCTGCTCTGTTGAAACGCGTTTCAACGGCACTAATAACGGTTTCAGCTGTAAAGTTTCTTAAAGGCTATAAAGTATGAATAGGTTATTGCGCTGAAACTTGTGAGAAAAAACTGAAACCCGCTAAAGCTTAGTGAAACCGAGTGAAACTAAATGAAACTTGCTGAAACCCACTTCGACCCGCTGAAACGCGTAGAAACCTACTGCGACCCGCTGAAACACACTGAAACGCGTGGAACCTACTGCAAACCACTGAAACACACTGAAACGCGTTGAAACCCCCTGCGACTCACTGCCGAACCAAACTGCAGTTAATTATGCTTACACGCGCTGTAACTACCTTGTGACCTTTATGTCGATTCATCATTTGCGAAACTTTGCAAAACGAAATTATTTCTTGCAACTAACACGAAGCAGAATGCACGCTTATTCGGAACATTAAAAGCTCAAGCGGATATACCAAAATCGTTACATTTAAAACCTTAAAAGATTTAAGTGACGTTAATACACACATATAATACACACATGTACATCTAGTGATGTTATAATCAAGCTGTAACAGCAACGTTACTTCGCCAACTAAATATCGCCACACGTGGACAATTTTAAAGTTTTTTTAAATTACGACAGAAGTTGCATTTCCAGGTTTTTTGAACAGCAACCCGCTTTGGTATTTTTCCACAAGTGCTGCATACATCGAGACTGCAGACGCTGCACTGAATCCATTTGGCACCCCGTTCGCCCTCAGCTAACTTGACAGCACAGTTAGCACAGATTCTGGGTAATTCTGCATCCGATAGTGGTGTGGGCTTACATGCCGGCGTTGAAAACTTTGCCACAGTTCGTTCATTATCGTCTAAAAACCACACAGATAAGCTCACTTGAACTTTAGTCGTCATTAACCTTTCCTCCAAGTATGTATAAAGCAGATTGATTACCCGTAGATTGAAAAGAAGCGGAAAACGACATCCTAACGGGGGTTTTGTTACCTGAAATGAAAAGATATATGCAAGTAAAAAGAACAGGTGATGCTTGATTTACCTTCACACAGTTTTAGTCGTTTCGGGTTTGGCATCGCGGAACTGGTGCCTATAAAATTTGCAGGTTTCACGTTGAAATATGCTTGCAAGGGATACACACTTTTGAAGTTGCAACATACCGTCATTTTTTTTAAGTGGACTGCTGGAAACCCCTGGAACAAACTGCGAACTGCTTCCTGGTGGATCACACAACGTGGTAACGAGATCCCCGGTAGCTCGCTCCGCAGCTTCCGTTTCGTTCATGCTACCTGCGAACATGTCCATCGTTGCACTGATGTTTTCCAAATGTTTTCGGCATGAGATCGAAGAGGAATTAAGGGAACGCTGCATAACACAGTGTCCGGAAGCTGGATTTCCGAATGACACTGACTTGGATTCCATTCTACCGTATTTGGATTCTATCCGCTGTCAGACGATATACTGTAGTGGCTCGCACATCTTGTACCACAGAGTTGGTGTACGGGAAAAATGTGCATCCAATATACACACTCTAACCGGGCAAAACGCACGATTCCCAGTTGGCGTGCATTGATAAATTTCTGATGTTTCTCAACTTCTGGTCTGGAGAACCTTCTTGAATATTAAAAAAATTAGAGCTCTAATAATTATTAATTAAATTTATGCTCAAAAGCAGCCATTAACTTAAATCTTTGCTGTCAGCTCGAATTCAAACACTGATTTGTTGTGGTTTTTGGGGTGCCCCTGCAGAGTGAGGGGTACGTTCAGCAATCAGCGTCAACATTCTACAGCTACAGAACAATTCGAGTTCTCAGATACAGAGCTTCTTTTCTAAGGTGAATTACAATTTTAAAGAAAATGTTTGATTCTGGACAGATTCAGAAGGAGAGTTCATCTTGAAGTCAAATCAAGCATTATTTCGTAGGCGTGCATTTTGCCCGGTTAGAGTGTGTATATTGGATGCACATTTTTCCCGTACACCAACTCTGTGGTACAAGATGTGCGAGCCACTACAGTACCCTCATTCCTGCAACCCAGTTTGCAAGAAACGAGGGTGTGGAGTACTTTACGTTTGCGATGGTATCTGGAAGGCTCATTTTAAGCACTGCTCGTTTATCGTACAGGTACAGTTTACCCTGTAAATTTGTTGGAGCATTTGTGTCATCATTTTTGAATAAAAATTGTTTTCAGAACCACATTAGCGACATTCCTCTAGTGAACTTCCCTAGCATCTGTACCGAGGAACCGATTAGAGCAAAGGGCAGCAAGTTCTGCCCAAAGCATGCAGTGATTGCAGAATCACTAGGAATAAATCCCACTGGTTCTTCGCGCAATGATCTTCGTTCAGAGATACCAGGTTAATATAACAGAACGCAGGTTTTTGTGATAGTAGTGCAATAACTAATTTTTTGAAATAATTATATGCCTATAAATAATTATGATTTAGGTATGCAGATACTTTTTCAAGCCGCACATCAGACTTCTGCAGCAAAGGGAATCGAATTACCTTCGAACTCCGAAGCATCCACTTTGCCTTGTTACAAACAACTCGGAGAAACAAAAACAAAAATTGATAGGTCGCGGGGATATCTTTTTATCGTGCGAGCAGGTGGCCATGTCGAAAGTTTCGCTCCCATATATGGGTAAACTTACAATTCCTAAAGAATTTTTCGTATCGTATCAGTATCATTAAACTGTAATTTTTTAGGTCAGAGTCTCCCTCGCAAGTGTTTCTGATCCTTATCGCATGGATGTACTTAGTGCTACAGGGTGTTCCAGTGGAGAAGTGGGGAGAAATTTTCATCGCATACGATAACATGTGCAATCTGGACAAAATTCGGGCAACCAAAGTATTGCTCCCGCTGCCGTACCCATACAACAGCCTTTGGATTAATGGAATGACAAAAGTGATTGACGGGTTTCATTTGTCCAATCACAAGAGCGGAGATTGCCACACTAAGTACAATCCGGAACACATCAAACAAATCCATCCTAATCTAGAGACAAGCAACACCCAGGCATGCGAACAGACCTTTAGTTGGCTTGGTGCCTTTCAGTATGCATTGTTTCAAATGCCTAAGTATCATCAGATATTTTTTCTCCATCGCATCGTGCAGCGCCGCAATCGGTACCTGGAAAAAAGATGATTCTGTGGACTCAGCCTACTTTTATAATGTTCTGTATTATAAGGTGTTATAACTTTGTGAATGTTTTTGCTAGTGACACAAGTACAAATTGGGCTCGAATTTAGAATCATTCCGAATGTATGCCACTGCTTAGTGCACTGTGTTATTCTGTGTATTAGCCAGAAGTTCTGCAAAAAAATTTCTAAACAAACTCCCATAAAAATCCCTCGCGTTTTAATGTTTTTTTATCGCGTTTCATGACGTTTCAACGAGCTTGATTTGGTTTCAACACGTTTCAACGCGTTTTAGTTAGTTTCATCGCATTTCAGCAAGTTTCAATGAGTTTCATCACGTTTCAGTTAGTTTCATCACATTTCAGCAAGTTTCAACGGGTTTCATCACGTTTCATCGCGTTTCAGCTAGTTTCAACGAGTTTCATCACGTTTCATCGCGTTTCAGTTAGTTTCAATGAGTTTCATCACGTTTCAGTTAGTTTCATCACATTTCAGCAAGTTTCAACGGGTTTCATCACGTTTCTTCGCGTTTCAGTTAGTTTCAACGAGTTTCATCACGTTTCAGTTAGTTTCATCACATTTCAGCAAGTTTCAACAGGTTTCATCAGGTTTCATCGGGTTTCGACGGGTTTCATCGGGTTTTCATCTAGTTTCAGTACGTTTCGACGAGTTTCGACTAGTTTCATTGCGTTTCTAAGTGCTTAGTTCTGGTTTTCTGGCTTTTATTTTCTTTGAAATAACTGTTTCGGCGTTTCGTGGGAGTACAGGGAACTCTTTAGAAAAACACCCTAACTCGGCGATACTCTCTCTTTACCCCACACACCCATTGTTTCAAAAACCAAAGCAGAGAAATTAAAATTATCGCGTAAATATCCGTGCTTATGGTTTTTCTTCGCCTCCGCCATGGTGGCGGCAGCGCCGGCTTCCTGGGATGTTTTGGCGATGTAGCTGGTGGCCTTGGTATCCGTGCAGGTGACATCCCACACCCAGGATTTTCCTTGGCTGAAGGGAACTGAGGTCATGCCATCCGGTCTTTTCTGGGTATCGCGGTAAAGGCCTGGTGGCTCGAGAACTGAAGGGATACTGGCTGACCCACAGGCGCGATGAATCACATCTCTGATTTCATTATGACGGGAAATTTTCGCCTTCAGACGCTTGCATCCTAACCCGTGATATCCCCGTGATATCCCCTTTAAGATTGTATGTCCTGGGTTCGATTCCTACTCGTAGGTGGGTAACTATTATCTCATGCAATCAAACCAAAAAAAAGTAAAATAGCCTAAAAGCCCAAAGGTTTTCACCTAATTGTAAGGATATTAAGTCTCCGTAATGGAGTTTGGATACTGTAGTTGCAATAATAATAATAATAATAAAAATAATAATAATAATGGTGTATGTGCGGAGCAGCCGGGTTTCATCGCCGATTTCTACAGAAAAATATGGCAATACCTTCCCCAATGGGCCGATGATTCCGTTCCAATAATAAATCGCATTTTGATAATATTATAATTTCGTTTTAAAAATAAATTGTATTATGATAATAATAAGTAATCCTTTCGGCTTTATAGGTGCGAAGTACGTACTACATTTAGAATTTTAGGTAAGTGCCACCGGTGCTGCATAGAAATATTCCAAGAGTGCAGCTACTTTACGGTATCGTTGGCTCGCTAAACCGACAGAAATCTGGAATTTACTTATCTACTGTAATTTTTTTTCCACCGAATTCCGTGATGGTGTCCATTTTCATGAAGAATATGGATATTGCATTTATGGTATCCTAAGAATGCAGTTCCGGTCGCCGCTATTGCTGAAGTTCAAATGAATACTTCTACCTATTAAGTTACAGAAGTACTCGCACTGAAAGTAGCATCGGTATATCAGATACTCGACTTCTACGGTACAACTAACCAAAGCGGGTGCTGACAAAAATTCGACGTCTCTAATTTGGCTAAAATTTTCTGCTTGTCATTTCTTCCACCGGACTTTTCGTTATCTCCAGGACATCAATGCCGACCAGTTGGATACTGATTTTTGACTGCGACCGCATCGCATCCCATTTGAATCTCCATTCATCGTGTGCGGCATCATGACAGACCCAGTCTAACACTGGGCAATGAGCATTCCCCTTAACATTCGTGTGCCCGTCCGACGGGAACCGGGCGGACCATACGTCGCCGGTCAGGTAAAATCCCTGTGCAATTGCAGTTATGATAGCCAGTTTCTATCCTGCGTCTCTTTGGAGCATGGGTAGCGATGGGGCATTTTGTTTGTTTGCTGCTTGCCTCCCTACAGACTGCTAGCGCATTATATGCTAGAGCAGAGAGTAGCCAATAGAAGTTCAGCTTCTGTTGTATTGTGGCGCCCCGCCACGTCATGGCACGTCGTCCAGCCCTTGGCAAAAGTTTCACCGGGATTGAACTGTTTGTTCAATGCTTCCCGTGGAGCTGCGCATTTGCTGAACCTCGGCTGTCTACAGCAACGGGACATCGTGGTTTACCGTTTTCTGCCGGTAAGCCGGGTAAGGATCAACGCGCTCGTGTCACCGCTCCATAGTTTATAGTCTGCTGTGCAGACGCCAAACAGTTTAAAACTTGCTTACAAAACTACTTTCATTCTTGCTCACAAACAATCTGTAAACCTATACATACTCTGCGAAATTCTTTCAAAATGGCGCTCTGCAAACTTCACAACCACCGCGCAAAATAACCGGCACCTGAGCAGAGAAATTTGTGACTTAAGAAGTCGAAGCGTATTAATGGAGGCTTTGTGCTTATTCATTCCTCTTTCGGTTGCCAAAAACATGTGTCAGCATGGTCCGGCATCAAGAAAACAATCATTAACATTTTTGCGAACCATTCTTTTGCATGCGATATGAGTTCCGCAGGCGCTTGGCTTTTCGAAGCTGTTGCGACTTTATACCGGCTCGATGTGCTCAACATTTTACTTGTCTGGGCTTCAGTTGTCACAATGATTCAACACACACTATATAATTAACATATATTGTTGGTCCTACTTCGAGTTCAAAGTCGCATGAGACGGTTTTGCCATCTGTCTTACCCATCATGACTGTGACATTGTTGGTAAGCTGTTACTTATTAATTCCTTGGTGGAAGCCGATTTGGCATAACTCTCGTTTGATGACACCCTACCGCACCCTCAAAACCGGTCGCTTGAAACATTGTGCAAGTCATATTGCGATAGAACGCAGATGAGTAACGAGCACATGCAAGACCATAGTACGGACCTATCTGAAGGCAATTAGCACTTACTGAAGTACCTAAATTACTGGAACAAAAGCGGTTTGTCTAATATAGACAGAAAAATGGCAGAAATGCTGTAGGCTATTACTGAAACTGCTATTATTAAAAAGGCGTACGCACCTTATATGTGTACATAATATTTATGCGTAAGCATTTTTATACTTACATTTTTGAAGTAATTTTAATCGAAAGGTTTCCCGAAAGATACTTGCGCAGTAGATCATTAGTGAAATACTCGTATAATACAAACACAATCAACTATACTCTGTACAGTACGAGGTACTAATATTCATCATCACTACTTCTTACTGTACATTACACAACGGGCACCGTCATGACACAACGGGCACCGTCATTGTTGTTAGAGTTAGACCACAAGGTTTCCGCTTTTCGCGGACACCAAAACTGCCATTTCCGACAGTTTTTGGTGCTGCCAAATGCGGAATTCTTGGAGGCACATCTATTCGGGATTTCTGTGCAGCAGTATCGTTATAATATTTTTGCTTAATGAAGAGAAACCACGCAATTATGACACTATCTGCAGCTAAATGGATCTCAAGGAGGAAAAAATACTTAATTGTATTACGGCAGTATTACTTTACGTGTATAAGGTAATTGTATTAATTTGTAAACTTGATGACATTGCTGTATTAGCAACGGAAGTTGGTGTTACTACATTATCGTGGAATAAGAGATTAAGAGTTAGTCTGCTGCGCGTTGAAGAGAACAAATCTATATTTATAAATGCATGTACTCTAACTCGTACATAGTTATTGCACACATTCACCACAATCATTAGGTTTCTGTTGGAATTACGTTTTTATGAAAGCAGTATACAGAGTACTGTACCTTAGTTCACCAACTGACGCCGATGACCTGCGAGCATTTGTAGTCGAACGCTCTGGTCCTGATAATTACAGCATTACATGCTGAATGTGACCCGAATATATCGAATCTATCTATCAAATATCAAGATATCAAATGAACAATGATATGCTACAGTTCAGTAGTTATCACCAAAAGTTCGTCAGTAAATGCTCCATAGAAAGTAATAAGAATATTTCTTCTCCCGTACGACTTCCCGTATTACTAGACAGCAGGAGAAAAAGGTGCACCTCACATTAGCGGTCATGCACGGGAACGGTAACCTTTATTACTACGACAAATTTTGCAACTGCCTAACTGTTTGCGTACTATTTTTGTTGTATATAAATTTTCTTATTTTGTATTCTAGTTGCGTATGACTTTCACAGTCAGGGTGACTGTTTTGAGGGTCCTTGGAAGATGTTCCTTCGTCAAATGAGATATCTTGACCGAGGAGTGAACCATTTGCATTACAGTCGCCTCGATTCCTGGCAGGAACCCGTCCAGCTCAACAAGGAAAACTTGCAACCAAAAGTAAACCATTGTTGTTTTTCGACATTAATAAATATTTTTTTAAAGAAATTGTACATATTTACCGTCCGAATTTTTTATAATTTATATAAAGTTATTGAAAATTATTAACTCTTTTAACTTTAACATTGTGGCGCGCGTAGTTTTCCACTACTGTAATGAGGGCGTCCACACTTATGCCAGCGTCCCGTTGGCGCTTAAAGGTTTCATCCGATTCCAGCAGGAAATAAAAGAAGTGGAAAATTTCGGGGACATCGAAGAAACAGAGCAAATGTGTGCTCGCTTCGTCAACTTAGCAGGCTTAAAATGCTTCAAAACCAAGTGGGAAATCGAACGCTACACGAGTAAATTGCCTTACATTGACTCTAATAATAACGATGATAATAATAATAATAATAACAACAATAATTATGTCTGTAATAATAATAATATCTTTTTTTACAAACTGATGACCTTTTTCAAAAATTTTA